AACCAGATAAAGGAACAGGTGTAGTACCGATCAACAACTATGATTATATTCGAAAGATGAAATCTGTTTAGTAAGAAAAAACTAGATTCATGCTTGAGAATTTAAACACAGACGCAGTTTGTTTAATGGAGAGTAACCAAAAAAGTAAATGAATCACTAAAGAAGCTTACTGATGATGAGGCACGTAGTTGGCTGACACCTGAAGGATCACGCTTGCTGTTCATGCACTCATAAGCGAAACCTCGGAAATCCGATACATCGCTTAGATGCACTGTGTTTATGATCAACACTTGCTGTCACCAATCGTCTTAGTGGTAGTCAAATCGAGTAGATCCCATTTCAAAGAAACAGACAATGCATGACCTAAAAGATAGATCTAAGTTTGCATGCATGAAACCAGTGTAAAAGAAAAACTGATGGTATCTTATGGAATATCACAACTGGTTGTAAGTATACGTCTGGAGAAAATAATGGATAATATTGTGAGTCACCAATCAGATTACATAACTATGCTCATGATGTAGCTCAATTTGCTGCTGTTTACAAAAACTAAGAATCGGCAATTTCGATTCAACAAAAAATATGTCATTTGACTATCTGAGATAGCCATAGTTTGGCACACTGATATTCATCAGCAGTCAGACCTCGTAGCTCAACTGGTAGAGCACCGGGCTGGTAACTCGATGGTCACAGGTTCGAATCCGGCTGGGGTCCAGATTTTCATCTTACCTTCAATCATCACCATCATCAAAGCGATGGAATTACAAGGGGAAATCCTTTGGAATCTCCTCTTGTGGATATATTCATGGTCATCTTAGAAAGAACTACACTAACTGTAGTTATTAGTCAAACTTGAGTGTAAAACAGGTATGTTAATGACATGGATCATGGCACTAAACTGCGAGAGATATTTAATAATGTGCGAGTGAATATTAAGTTTATCACGGAAAATAAAGCAAACAATGAATTTCATTCTTTCGACTTAGGACTTCGAGGAAGAAAAAAACAGGTCGTGTTAGAGATCTCTCCACGGAGAAAAAACATGGAGTAGGCAGTAAAACAACTTAAGTTTCTGTTCTATGAGTCATAAGCGAAATCAGTTCATACGCTACTTCAAACGGCTAGAAAACTTTGTTCATCAGCTAAACTAACTAAAGAATTTCTGCTTATCAATAGATATTTAAAAAAAATTGTTACTCTCAGAGATTCATACATAAAGTCTAAACGAGAATAGCCGAAGCAATGGGACTAGATAATCCTGAGAAGAAACCTGTATTTCTTAAATTTTAGAGAGACAAATTGATACACAGAATGAGTATTAGAATAAGAACTGCAATGAAAAAACCTTCCAAATAGTCAGGTTAGTATGCCTATGCGAAACAAAAGACTCAACAACAACAATCATAAGTCGACAGGTTTCCAGTACAATTCAACTTAAATTTTATCTATCAGCCGACAAGTACATGACTCAACATATAAGTCTAAAGGACAGAAACAACGGCTAAAACTCGATTTCGTGAATACATTCCGAATAAGTTGGGCATAAAAAAGACGAATTATTTTAAAAGTTATAGTGCTAAACATTTGATCGGTACAAGACAGAATGTCAAGATCTTGAATGGATATACAATAACTAACGCAGAAAACAATGACAATTTACTCAGATGCGCAGAAGAGATTGCAATCAAGAGAATTAATCTGAACTTATTTCATTTGGACTTCCTTAATATTCACCATTTCTTTTGTTACGTTTCATAAAAGGACTGTTTCTCTCAATCAATAGGATGTGCCGATTACATTTATCTGTAGGCATATCAAGGAGCGAATACATTTGCGAAATTATGAACGATTTTGAACCATTTCACCAAACTCCCCAACCACGACTCAGGTCAACACCCAAAGACTTCATTGACTGGTGCCACGTCTTCGTCTGCCAACCCTAAATACCCTTCAAACCTAACCCGACGTACCCTAGCATGACGCGTCGAGGTGGGCGGTGGCTCGGCATGCCAAGTACATGTCCAAGCCATCTCTCAGTCAATGAAGGTTCAAACCTGATCAATCGACTTGCCTGACCACAATATTGCTCATACAGCGATTTCACCACACACGAACAATGCTACGAAGATGCCAATCATCAAAACCCTGAAACCGCTTCATGTCTTCTACGTCTAACAATCATGTCTCACAGCCGTATAACAGGACAAAACGAACTGCAGCGTAATATAGTGGTCCTTGGATAGGTAGTCGGATATCTCGCCGGAACCATAGATCATCTAAGTGGGCAAGTGCCTAACGGGCCCTCTGTGACCGAGCGGAGATCTCGCCAGTGAGTAGCCCGTTCGAGTTGATGCAACTCCACAAGTAAATGAAGTGGTCGACGCATTCCACCACTTCACTGCTTATCCCTAAACTTAATATAGTTGCAAACCAGTCCTGAAGCATCATTTTATATTTGACATGTGCGAAACGCATGACAAACATACTCAGATTTCCAATCAACACGTTCAGAAGACTCATCATCATCAGTATCAACATAGGACCAGGCATTACTGCGTAAGGGTCCGAGTTGCCACACCTCATATCACCATATCAAGTAGAAAGGTAGTGAGGTGAGGGCTGAAGATAAGAGAATGCAGTCAAAAGAAATATAAAGTACTCAAAGAAAGAAAAGAAGAATGAGAAAAGTGTGAGATTCGGTATAGTGTTGCTATGATGAGGATAATGTGTGTGCGGATACATCTGCGCCACTGACATCGGTCCTCAGCCATATCGCCTACAGGCTCCAAGCATTGGTTCCTATTGTCCCGTGGACCCCAATCACCTAGTCTGCATTGCCTTCCCTACATGGCTCAAACCAACAGTCAGAGACTTCATGCATTGGTGCACTGGATTTTGTCGGTGTCTTCACCCAGCAGGATAATATCGTCTGCACACTCTAATTCAACCGGCTGACCTACATGGAGTACATGAATCACTGTGGAGTCAGACGTACCTGAAGTAATGTCCATTAGTACGTCTATAAAGAAGTTAAGTAGAAACTGTGACAGTGGGCATCCCTGGAGATATCACTAGTAGTCGTCAATTCAACTGGGCCGAGTGAGTTCGAGTAGAGGGCTTTGATTAACTTTGTATACTTGCTCTGTATTGCTTTCACAGTCACACATCGCCAAAAGTCCCCTCAGTTGACAGTGTCGAATGCCACGTTCAAGTCACGAAGTATGGCAAGTCTCGCTTCCTAGTAGGTATGTCTGCGTTGCAGGACCTGTCGAAGGGTAAAAATCTGATCGATACACTCTCTCTCAACCGGGTCTGAAACCTGGCTGATTTTCTCAAGTTTCCTGTTCTCGAGTTCCAACAGAGCGTCGGAAGGCTAGGGACACAAGGAACTTGGACACGATATTCGTCAAACGAATTCTCCATTAGTGATCACAAGACGATTTCTCTCTCTTCTTATAGACTGCGATGATCAGTGAAGTACACCAGTATGACGACACTACGCCTTATTCCCATACACTACGCACTACTTCAGTCAATCTAATTCAATCAATTTAATTTCCTACCTCCATCCTTGAGAACTTCGAGTGGCAAACGTACTGTGTCTCCTACTGTGCACCGTTCCAGGCTTTATCGAATTCGACGAGATTTGGAGGACTGACATCTGCGTCCAACTCAGGTTCAGGTTGAATGTTGGACAATTAAAGCGTTACCGAGGGTCAGCTGAAGTAACTGGGCTTCAAAGTGTTTCGCCCAACGTTCAGGTCGCCTATCCTGGGAGTTTATCAGCGTCCCATCCTTTTCGGCATCGGTTTCACTTGCCATCGTCTTCTCCTTCCCGATATCCTTGATAAGGCTAAATAGCTGCCGGGTGTCCTGTAACGCTGATGCCTTCTTCATCTCTCTTAATTTCCTTACTGCTGATGATCGACGCAAAGACTCTCGGTCAAATTACGTTCCAGTTGCGTTCGCTCCTCGACGTGGTTACGACCAGCTGGAACTAGTCTTCTTGAGTCAATCAATTCACATGATGTCGCAGAAGTCCAATGACGGATGTAGGTTGATGACTGTCTTCATCGCCGTTTCCACAGCACACTTAATATCTATGCCAGGTTTCCTCAGGAAGAGCACTGCTGTTTAGTTCAGATAAATGCTTAGCTAACTTCTCTCTAAATACGTATTTGGCGTCCTCGTCTTCCGATCGACCATAGACAGGCTTTACTATCGCCTGTTTCCTGAGACCGGTAAGGCGAAGACATACAAGAGCCCGTACAAGTGCGTGATCGAAGTCCAAACAGGTATCCCAAAGGAGCGACAATTCTCCACCAATTCTCTTCAACGATGGCTCATAGCAATATGATCTATCTCCATCGTTGATTTGTGAGACAGTACCTCTCCTCATTCCGAAAGTTAGTGATGACCAAAAACAAGTGATTGTCGGAGCGAAATTGCAACAGCCGATCACCGTTGTCAATTAATTGGCATAGGATTCTGTAAAGACCCCGAAGATGCCTCTCCGACTGGCTCAGCTTCTCTGCTTGAGCGTTAAAGTCACCTGTCATTAGGACAACATCTGAAGGTTGTGCTTCCTTCAGTAGCAAACTTGACAGCTTCTCATAGTACTCGTCATTTATTATTACACTACAATGGCAACTGCCTTTCGTCTTACCACTATCTAACAGACCCTTGTGGGATGGTAGGACCTCGAGGGGACAAATGTTTAGGTCAGTGTAGCTCGCTGGGACATTGCGATATACAAGCCCAACCACCACGTCAAGGTAGCAGGTATCAGCAGTGAATCGATCGTTAGGTTCCCAGATATCGAAAGGGCAAGTGATGAAGACTAGTCACATTGATCAATTGAGGTCAACTAAAAAATTGCAATTTTCAAATAGTATGAGTTTTGAAAGCAGTATAGATATGATTAAATTGCTCTCTTTATTAAGAACTCCAAGGACTGGATAGAAAAAAGCGTTTCACTATACATTAAACAAAAAACTTACTACTTGTGCCCATCCAGCAAATTCTCCCCAAATATCACTAAGAGATTTCGAGATGACATCATACGATTTCCCAGTTATATTCTTACAAGATGCCTCAGGAATTTTCTGTTCGCGTGCAGCACGATGCATATGTACATCAACAGGGACCACATTTAATTTATCTAGTGCTGTAAGGCATATACAATCTGCAACCTAGAATTTAACGAAACAAAAACCTTTTTTAACAGAAAAGCAACAGGGAATGTACAGTGTGTCTGTGTGTGTACAAAATTTAAAACTAAACCAATGGGACTGAATACAAAACTCCATGGATATCCTTTCGAAATTAACTTTCGCTGAGTTAGTTAGTAAGAAAGGTACGGACTGAAATAGTTCTAATACATAACTGGTTACCTTCCACCAGGCTGTGTTGTGTACTGAATTCTTGTTATAAACCACCCAGTTAAGACAGTGGACTGAGATCTCCGATGCAAAAGAGAGAGTAGCCTACAAACAGTTACTGTTAAGTGGCATGCAGCATGACACTAAACACACCGAATGTACAAACAGACGAAAAGTTGACTAATATGTCATCTGTTCACTATACAAATCACTGGATAATGAGTCCAAGTGGTCTTCTCTACTGCTCACAAAGTTAAAGAGCTGAGGCTAATAGGTTTAGATAGTTGACTTTCAACCAATGGGTCATGACTTATAGAGGCTTCGGCAGCCAGATTGTATGGTTAGGTTTAACACACTGGGTGTATCTTACAGCTTACTGCATGAATATGAAGAAGGTTAATGAGAACGTTTCGATTCAATTAATACTATCTAGCATTAAATTTCAAGCTATATTTTTAGTCTTGAACATGAATAAATACAAATGATATTCTTATCTCTTTTTGCTTTTGCATCACTACTAACGTTCGCCTGTTAGGACCAACAAAACCCAGAACGTATCTACTTTTAATCACGTATAGAAACTTACCCTGTATATGGTTAATGGGTAAGCTCATTAAAAGACACGTCAATTAGAGAAAAGACAAACGTTTGATTCATTTTGTATCTGCATCATCATTCCTCTCTTTTTTCCAGATAAAGATCTACATCAAGTACAATGATATTGAAATGTGAGATAAACATTCCTGCTCGTGAACTCATCTTCTGATGCAATCATTAGCGAAAGAACGAAAAGAACGAAATAATAAACAATATACAAGCTAGAGTTCTCAAGAGAAATGTGGAATTGTCATAACACAAAAGATTTATGTTTTAGAAACAAGTACTAATGCAACTTAGCATACATTATTGATCAACTCATTCACTTGAACATATTAGATTTGTTATTACTTTCAAATCAGTCATCATATTTAAGTGAAACGATGATTCACCGGTTTTCGTAACTGGCTATCAACCAACAGGATATTGATGCTTTCCTTACCGTGATCTTGGAAGCCAGGCGATATTAATAAACCTTCAGTCATTAGGTGCAATTTGTAACCTATTGTACCAAGCTGAATATGTATTATTGAGTGGACATTCAGTTAATTCAATCAATTATAGTGTCATATATTGTATATACTGCAATGACTTGGCTACAACAATCCAGCTGGTCAAGCTTCAACACTTTCACTTAGAGTTGAAAGAGGAAAACCTATGATCAGAATGTGACCTCTCAAAAGTGCCTATCTACACTTATATTACAAGGCGAATATTCTATGATGACATAAAGACAGAAACAGGAAAGTGGGACTCGACTAAATTGAAGGCAACAATTTGTTATTAGAAATTACAAATTAAGTTGAATATACGTTGACACAATCAAGTCAAAACAACTAACACTCATATCATATCAGACTCGCTTAACAATCAATGTATATTTTTGTGAGCCTTGATCAACACAATGACGTTCCAAGTTAAACAATACCGTTGGATGTCACATCTGTCACTCTATAGGCTTTACTTAAAGTTGCCCGGTTTTATCAGTAGCTATGCAATATTTTTAGCGATAGATATATTTCTTTAGATGAGAGAATACAATGGGTGAAAGATATTGTTGGCAAAGATTTCAATAAAATGTTAATTGTCTTTAACAAAAGAAGTGAAAGTGATGGAAACGAATATGATTACTCAACTGAGATTGCCTTTTCTCTAATCAGCTGCTATTGATCACTTGAATTCCCAATACTAGATACATGTCCACTGATTATCTTAACTACTTTTCTTACTTCATTTTACTCTAGCTGGTCAAATAAATATGTTTGGATTGAATTCAGGTGTAATTTCTGATGCGCTATGCTTATGATAGGAACAAACCTTATATATTGTACGAATACACGAATATTAATTTGAAATATCGATTGAACTAAGCTGAAGTGAAGGGAAACGTTAAAACGATCAATCGGCATAACGATGCTGTATATCAAGGTCATATGTTTACGTTCGTTTACCACATTATTGACGCTTTATGAGCTATTGAAGAATATTGACGAGGACAACGATGTTGGTATGGTTTTAAAGATGACAAACCTAATGAAAATGCAGAAATCTTAATTTGTCATGTAAAACAGACCTATAGTTTATAGATAAAATACCGCTTTCATTATTAATCATAATGTCCTTTATGTGTTGGATTCCGATTGTTCACTAAACATTTGAACATGATTGGTTATCATTAAAGTTCACGCGAAGCAAATGTTCTTATATTCAGATTAGCTGAAACAGAATATTGGTTTCTTGTTATTGTACTTCTATTCAAAAACATTTAGATGTCTAACAGTAGTGGTGGAGCAGTGACTCGTCTAAGCAGTCGACTTCCAACCAGTGGGTTCGAACCCCGCCCCAAAAACCGAGATCTGAGCAGTATTGTACAATCATTATTTCTCACACATTATATATTGATCATTGCCTACTGCATGAAAATGCTCGTAGGTGATGAGTGAACTTCCATTTCGAGAAGCTGCGGTACACCTGACAAAACAATGGATGAACAAAAAAGAGCTGAAAAGTGAGTGATATAAAACAAATTCAGAATAAATACGAAGCTTTGGAAGAAAAGAAGCTTTTGAAAAGAAACTGAATATTTTTTCCCAACAATTGTTTGGCGAACAATAAGCAAACAGTTGAGATCAGATAAGCTTTATCAAACACACTATAAAGTCACGGGCGGATGCTATATCAAAGCACAGAACATAAAAATTACTTTAAGAAGACAAGTTAATGAGTAAAAGAGAATGTTTTAAGTTAGGAATATTCATAGACCTGTCTTCTGATGGATTTAATCATTCATACAGCCATAGTACTTTATTCATGCAGCTTAACCCAATTCGTATTCTCAGAGAGAGAAAAAAATAAAGAAAAGAGTTAAATCACGAGAAATTATATGAATATTGGAAGAATTATATCAGAAAAAGGCAAAAGAGAAACAATAACGCTGACCGTAAAAATGGAAGGATTAGTGAGATTTGCAAGCTTTCCATCAATATCAGACATTAAGTACCTTATATGAGAACAAACAAGTCAATCACACACCTCTACTACAAAATCTAGGGGTGAACCGAATTTTGGGGTTATATATATTCTGTAGAGGAGATTGACTGGTTCATCAAATTATGAAACAAGTGATAAAACTTGAAATCAGACTGCCATTAGTTGTAAAAGTGGTTCTTAACAATGGAACCAAGTATTTTAATTCTGGACATATTTTAATAACCAATGAAGTGGATGGTTCGGAAAAACCTGGGCACCGAGTTAGCATGACTCAGACCTTGTGTACCAAAATTGAATATCGAACAGAAAACTTAATGTCAGATTCATACGCTTGAGAATAATCTTCCTAGCAAAATCAAAACGTTCAGGAACAATACAGAATAACAGTTCAGTTTATTATTTGTTCGAATATACTACGCCGGAATTACACAAGTAGAAAAACACCCTATATGATTGAATTCTAATTTTCTTACAAAACTTGAAAAATATTTAAACAGAACTTTCAATACACGAATGAGTGAAAACCTTTTATAGCTAAATGTGCCACCACAATCAGATGTCATTTGTGGGTATCCTTTCACAACCCCTTCTCCGTATACTCCTTAATTACAAAATCTTCATCAGAACATGAAAAAATCAACATCTAGGTAAGAGATAAGTGCGCACTGAATTTCTGTTTATATTGGTTTTACTATTTGAGTAACACACTAGTATTGAGATATAGCCACTATGGTCACGATTCAGTACCGTTCGCCAGCGTGAACTATTCCAGAGTCACAAATTAATACCAGTAGCTAGATTATTTTATAGCTGAAGTCGCTCAGTGATTAACACTACTTCGGAATCTATGACGTCTATGCAGCAGTATGTGTTTGTATTCGATTTACCAAGTTAGTATTCCAGCTCTTTCAACAATTTATGGTACATGTTTTACTGAATTTTTGTTGCATTCAGAAAATGGAAAAGAAAGCAGACTGGTTGGAATGTACTGTAAGTTCCTTAAAACTTTTCAGAAGTGTCATTTTATCCTACAACGATATTAGGGGATCACTGGTTCCTAATCATTCCACTGTTCATCTGGTTTGATATAAAAACTGTTGAAAATTCACGGTAAATAGACCAGAGCAGATGATTATAAGTTTTATTTCACTGTGCCTAGAACCAACGGAACTTAGGAAATAGTTATCTATAGTCAAAACTAAGTGGTTCGAAAGAAAACTAAATAAGTGCTCACTAATGGTAGATATAAACATATTGTTAAATTTCTCAAACCTTAAAATACAATACACCCCCACAAGTTTGATGCCAACTTAAAAAGAATGTACGTTTGAATGTCATTTTGATATTTTCTTATCCGACCTCAATGAAAACTTATCAAATTCTCATAGCACAACCATGCGGAGTAAACAGAGGATGGTAAGCAAATTTATCAATCACTTCAATGCCTTCACTTTGATTCTTATTGTTATGGCCTATTACTTGTTTATCCTGACAGGTTTAGACTAACATTTAATACTGTTCAGTTGGTTAAATACGAGTGTTTTCACCTCTCTTATTTAGAAAAGCAATTAATCTCGGAGGCCACACAAATTTCTTACCTAGTCAATGCATCTTTGCAATGAGTTTGCATCAGATATTGGAATTGTCGATCTTAATATATTTAGTAGTGGGTAGCAGTATAATTTAGGAGGCAGGTTTCGGCCCACTGGAAACTCATTACTTAACTATGCCTGAGAAAATAAAAATTTTGATATGACAATCACTTGTAAAGAATATATTATATATATATATATATATATATATATATATATATATATATATATATATATATATATATATATATATATATATAAAATACAAAGTTGAGTAACCTTCTTTCCGATTCCAGCTATTTGAAGCAAAAATGCCTGTGCTTCGGAATGAGACATGGTACGAAGTTCAAAAAGACGAGATTTGCCTCCATTTTTCAACAGCCAATCAGCAGCATGTCTACAATGAATTACAAAAAGCAAGTGTTTACAATACTAAGATCATTCTCATGAAAAAAAATAAGCTCCTTAAAATGTCTTACTTTGGATATCAGCAAAACAACATTCTTTTACTGACGAGTTTCACACAAGATAGATATTAATGAAGGTCAGAAATTGCAGGCTTCCTAGTTGGCGAAACAATAGAAATCAGTTGTCAAAAATACCACCTTAAAGGATACAGAATACAAACAACAGCAACAGGGAGGACTCATAGATGCCTTACCACTACCCAAATCTTGAATATTCTGTTAATACTTATGCTCGATTACTTTATTCCCTTGTCTTGCTGCAGTCTGTTTGGCATCATGATTGGTCATGAAATATCATTTCACTTAGTTATTTTTCCTTTCCCTGACCTTATCTCGATTTGTTGACATGAAAAGTGGCGAATTGAACTGATATACACAGATATTCAGTTATTTGTTGCGTGTATGGGCTTGATTACAGTTCTAGAATCATTCATTTGGTTTGAAGAACTTACTCAACTAGAAATACTCCCATGAAACCTACTTTACTGGCGTTCAGTAGATACTCAACCACCGAAAATTTAGAAAGTTTGATAATACACATTTAACTTACATCAACAACAGCAATGGAGCAGTAATTACAGAAAAAGCTTCTTTGACCAATTTATATGAGTAAGTAATTTGACTGCAATTTTTTTGAAGTGATAACGCCTATCCAAATCTACAAGTTATGCTGATCTATCACTGAATCAACAATATATTTTTTCGAATCCTACGTGCCAAACTAATTAGACCGATGAAGTTTACGATAAGCGCGGAAACTGAGCCAAAGACCCACTGGTCATTTGCTTTCAATTACCTAACACCACCCAGAACCAGAAATATTTCACGACGGTACAGACCAAGTCTCTACGTCATCCAAGTATATTTCCCCTTGAAATTGAAGAACAAGACGAGACTGGACAATATCAGGTAAAAAAAAAGAACAGACCGTTTATGATAAATGAATCTATAGCAGACTTACGCATCACTCTGCGTTATCTTCCGTCTAGAGTCTCCCTATTTCCAACGTACGACTTAGGCAATGTAAACAAAATGGATGTTTGTACATAACAAGCTGATAGGTGCAACTATGAACAAATAAATACGTACAAGTTTCACTAGGTATCAACAATGATATATGTAAAAACATACACAATAAATTTTGAACGATAACCAAAACCAATCTTTTTCAATTGATCCGTCATTTCAGGTTGTGCCAGTACTTCAAGTGATGGAAATGTCCAGTTGGCTAAATCACCATTTTCAAGATACAGAGGACTACCATACAAACTGCACAGTTTACAAAGTAATTTCCTAATACGTGTTAGATTGTTATTAGCTGATGTAATGAAAGCAAATAATGTTTCTTCTGGATCTTGTCGCAACAAGCGTAAACCACGAGCTGTATCCATCATGCAACCATCAGAAAAGCGATTAGCAAACCATTTATCCCGTATACACCATTCTTCCATTAAACTGGATAAATTCGTATCCAGTCTAAAGTAATCATATAAATCTGGAGGAATATTTTTTAATTCTGAACACATCGTAGTAGGTTTATCCAAAGAGTAATATTCTACAGGCTTGGAATGATCAATCTGACGTAATCTCCATAATCTTCCGTTTATCACTCCATGCCATTCGTTCAATGCTGGAGTAAAAATCCAACTAAAAACCAGGAAAATAATAAACATCCAGTAAGCTAAATGAATTTTTTTTATCCCAGGTGGTAAGTGTACTTCAAGAAACTGCATGTGAAATGGGAAGAATAATGTGAAACAACATACCGTCTCACAATTAAACTGTGAACAGGTTGAGTATTTGACTACACACCTCCGGCTAGTTAGGCATACGGAAACTAAATATATCAGCACTGAGTGATGTATACACATCCAACTTAATTCTACTAATTTTAGAATTCTTATTCACTTATTCAGTAGCAAAAAGTAAGAAATCGAAGTTCATAGAAGTATCACAACTAACTTCAGAAATACGACACAACTGATGAAACCATACGGTTAATGATGCTTCAGTCATAAAATGCTGCAAGTCGTTAACCAGAAAGATGTTTAGATTAAAAAAAGATAAATTGTACAACACTTAACGTAATTTATCTGGAGGTAATAAGAACAACTACGAGTCTTCTTATATCTTTTATTCCATACAGCTCAGAAGATTGAAAACCTCACATAATTGCCTGTTTACTAAAAATACACGCTACCGCATGAGCACTATGAAAAGCGAAGCAATATGCAACATATTAAAATATAAAGTTATGCAAAACAAAAAAAAGAAACAGTTTTGAATACATACTCAAAGAGGCATTATTCATTTACACAGAAAGGATTTCCATCTTCAGAATTTTTAATATCTATACTCCAGCTGTGAATGGCTTCTTGGAACCTATGTACAGAGTTGTGATGCACCAACATATGATAACAACTGTATTCCCGACATGTACCCTGCGTTTTTTTAAACATACATGCAAGATCTAAGTGTTGTTATTAACTTTAACCTCACCAGACGAATGTCATGATATACAAAATTCAATTTACGAGTTTGCAGAGATTCAATAACTAGCTCACATGAACTTACTATCTAGGCACAGCATTAAGTTCTCAAGCAGAAGGACCACTTCTCACTCAACTCGATACCAGTCAGCAGACATCTTTGTGCTGTCCAACATAACGGATTTGGAAGAATTGGAAACGATAGTGAAACTTGCTCATCCATATTCGTAATCTACCTCTCTCTCTCTCTCTCTCTCTCTCTCTCTGCCTATCCTCCCACTGACTCCAATTCGAACGATACAGAGCATAAATCCTATCACAAGCTGTCAATCTCTCCATATAAAACAAAATGTTTACATATAGCCATAGAACCCTGTGAACTCAACACTCAAGTAGGAAACCTCAGTTAGTAAGAAGGCCGCCTTGGAAATATCTACACCACTGCATGTCAACAAACCGACAACGGTAATAGTCACTCACAATTTTTGATAATCTTTCCTTACTGGCCAACACTAACTTCAAGCATAAGGAGACATTTAGAATCTGCTGACATCAAACAGACGATATTCACAGACAGATCCTATCGCTATAAGCTATTGTTAACAGAGCATCGGTGGGTGATTGCAGCTATTTCTGGAATACCTGTTTGAAATCCGATCTCACGTTAATGCAGACACGTGTAAGTTTGCACTTTACTGGCAGCAAAACACAGGTGGAAGTGAAACTTGTCTGTGCTCCATTGGAACATGACAACACGAAGTAAGTATTTAGGGAGGAGTTGGCTAAGCATTTATCTGACTATGACAGTGATGCTCATTCTGGGTAAACCTGGGGTGATACTAAGCCCACTCTAAAAACAGTGATGAAGACAGTTGATAACCCACAACTGAAGGCTAGCAAACATCAATGAATTTCAACAACGTCATCAGAACCGATTGATGCGAGAAGACTGATTCCAGCTGACTTTGGCCATGACTCCCTAGAAGTTTTCTTTTTTCTCCACATGACCTCCTCCACGTCATCCTCGACTCGGACGCCCAACTCGTCGTTTTCCCCTTGGATTCCACTTGAGGGCCTGGCCTGGTACATGATGTCCCTGAATGGTCCTCTCAGTGTACGTCCAGTCCATTCCAATCCAATCCATCTGCACTTTTTTCTGCTTATTTGTTGGGCGATGGGTTCTTGCTTCGTTGCCAGAGTTCCTTATTGCTTATTCTTTCTGGCCATCTGATCTTCAGTGTCGAGCGTAGGCAGCTGTTGATGATGTATGTCTGCAGTTTGTTGGAAATGCTTTTCGTGACGCGCCAAGTCTATGAACCATAGAGAAGCACTGACCTGACATTAGTGTTGAGAATCCGGATCTTATTCTTTATGCTGAGTGCAGCAGATCTGCACACTGGTTTAAATAGTTTATAAATATCGCCAGAACTAGTCACCCATACAGCCGTACTTGCAGGTTTGGACCATCAGGTTTGGGTATCCTTGTGTTAAGAAGAATGATCTTTCTCATAAGAGACATACGACTACGATTTAACTCTCTATTTGCTTGCAAGAACCGGCGAACGGTAGGAAAATGCAAGAGGCCCACAGAAATCCAGGAGCTCTCTGGAAGCCAACAGAAGTCTCACTCGTCATTTTCAGCGTCACATTCAAGTCCAAGTAAATGCTTTTCAATACTTTCTGAAAAATTATTAGCTGTTATTGAATCTAGTCCAGACATTCAGCTGCAGTACCAAAGGCAACAAACTTGACTAAATGAAAACTTCTTTATGTTGGAAATTTAACTGACAATAACTAAAATGATGGATAAACTTAGCACACACTGAAGTGTAAGCATACGGTAGTGAGCGTTGCTGATCAGAATGGATATAAGTAGTATGTGTTGAGAGGGCGGAAGACACCATAGGGGATTGCCAGCAATGGGTAAAGATTCTGCCCAGAGAAACGTAACATACAACGCGGGCATATTAAGGGCAAATCAAGATAGAAGCAGAAGAGGAAGTGAAGCACATTATCCAAATGACTGTCTTAGTGCAAGGTGCACCACAGTTAATGACCAGAGTACAAGACTTCAATAATAAACATTCCTGACTCCCTTCATCCAAGTCTTCTCGTTTCCTACAACGCCTCAAATACATGCTCAACAAACAACGGTAGTCCTCAATATACCAGCTTCCTAGGAATGTGATCGCAATAAAAAGTATTCAAGTCCGAAGTTAGGAAGCAGGGTAAAGTTACTGATTAGGGCAAGTCATGGCTGTCCCTAAATTTTAGAACAAAGAGATTCTATTCAGCACAGAGCTCGCACTAAACCACACATCCAAATCAACATAGGACCAGGCATTACTGCGTAAGGGTCCGAATCGCCACACCTCATATCACCACATCAAGTAAAAGAGCAGTGAAGTGCAAGATGAAGAAAAGAAGACTCAGTCAAAAGAAATATAAAGTACTCAAAGAAAGAAAAGAAGAATGAGAAAAGTGTGAGATTCGGTATAGTGTTGCTAAGATGAGGATAATGTGTGTGCGGATACATCTGCGCCACTGACATCGGTCCTCAGCCATATCACCTACAAACTCCAAGCATTGGTTCCCATCGTCCCGCGGACCCCAATCACCTAGTCTGCATTGCCTTCCCTACATGGCTCAAACCAACAGTCAGAGACTTCATACATTGATACCAACCTGGACCTACTTCCGTCAGCATTGTGTGACCAGGCAATCGGTGACTAGGCATACACGTAACACGTGTCCAAACCATCTCAGTCGATGGAGGTTCACCACCTCGTCAACCGACTTAACTCTTCTCCCTAAAACCCTACAACTAACTTCTACGTTTCTCATATGGTGACACCACGGAATACGGTCTATACTACGAAGTCAACGGTGGCCAAACACCTGAAACCTTCTCATGTCTTCCAACTGCAATGCCCATGTTTCACAGCCATACAGAAGAACAGACCGGACTGCTGTGCAGTACACGCGACCCTTAATTGACAATCGGATATCATGGCGGCACCATAGGTGGCCTAAGTTGGCGAAAGCTAGCCGAGCCTTTTATATCCGTGCAGAGATTCTGCATCTTGTCAGCGTCTTCACCTAACACGACTGTATCATCTGCATATTCTAAGTCTAACGAAAATTCTTCTGTGATTAGGTCAACCTCTGTGTAGTCAGGTGACGAGAGGGAGACCTCCATAAGAATATCTATGGAGACAGTGGGCACCCTTAACGGATACCACTCAATGAGCATAGCTCCCCAGATATCTCACCACAGGCTCTAACATGCCAACAAGTGTTCGAGTAGAGAGTCGAGCTTTGAATAAGATGATGTACTCACTCGGCATGCTATTCAGTGAGAGACATTGTCATAAGACTTCTCGATCAACGGAGTTGAATGCCGTCTTCAGATCGAGAAATACAGCTATTGTTGGGTGTCGGTAAGTGTGCCTGTGTTCCAGGACCTGGCGCAGTGTGAATATTTGGTCGATACACCCATGGCCGGGTCTAAAGCCTGCCTGCCTGCCTGGTTTTCTCGGGCTTGCTGTTCCTGAGATCCAATCAGGAGTCGAAGAATTATAGAACCTAGGATCTTGGACATTATGTTCGTCAGGCTGATTCATATGTGGTGATCACAAGAGGACTTCTCGCCTTTCTTGAAGACTGGGATGATGAGTGACTTAGACCAGTCAGAGAGGATCGTATTTGATTCCCATATACTGGTTAACACTTCCGTTAACTTGACTAAGAGCACTCTACCACCATCCTTGTATACGTCAGGAGTTAGCCCGTCTGGTCCTGCTGTCCTTCCTAGTTTCAGGTTATCTACTGCTTTCTCGACTTCTGCTATTGTTGGGGGCCTATCTCAATGTTCCATTCAGGATCCGACTGGATAACAGGCAACGCAATGGTGACTGGGGGCCAGTTAAACTGTTCCTCGAAGTGTTCTACCCATCGTGCCAGTCGTCTCTCCTGCGAGTGAATTGCAGATCTGTCCTTCTCCGCAATAGTCTCGCTAAATGTAGTTGACCTTTTTCCCCCAGTCTCTTTAATAAGTCTAAATGACTGTCTACCTCGAGGGAACAAGTGTTCCACCAGCATATCTTGTCGGGGCATTGTGATGTGCAGGTCCGACCACCACGTCAACGCAGCAGCTATCGGTCAGGAGAGCTTGCACTAAGATATATGATGACAGCATATGGTTGAGGTCCCCCAACTGTCGGTAGAAATTATCCTTTGATGCTTATTTATGACCGTAGATAAATATGACGTTGAGACAAAAAAATCCCCTTGCCAACAGCATGGTGAGACATCTACATCATAGTCTCTGGATAAACACAAATTCTGCAGTCTTTAATAGGTGATCGATAGGGCTGTTTGAAACACTTTGCAAAGATCTTTCACTTGGGTCCATGGAAGACAGTATATATCAACGATGAAGCTTTCCAAAGTACTGACTAGGAGCGTTGTCTAATCTATAACAAAATATGAAGATGCCATACTCAAACGGTATGTTTAGCTTCAGAGGAGTCGAATCGCGCTGAAAGACGGTTGTGGAAGTACGTGTTCACTGACTAAAAGGGCAAGGGAATATATTTCTAACTAGTTCATACTTTTGTCTGGAAGTCTTTCTGTGTATTCATTTTGATGGAAACATCCGGACAATCTCTTTTAATCTTTTAAGTAATCAGATGTACAAATCTTCTGGATTCAGGGGGTGAAACGATACACAGGTGGATGAAACTTAGTTGAGGAATAAAATTATTTCCTTAATTCATCTAGATTTTCGATTGCCTTCAATCTCCTTTTATTGTCATTTAAACACCAAATAACGGAATCTTTACTATAGATTTCATTCTCAAATATATAAACCAACGTCTACTTTGCATTTCTGGAGTTTTAGCAGTGCGAAAAATGGAAAAATAAAAATACATATCCGAAAACATAACTTCGTTTATTTTCAGTCATAGCTTTGTTTATTACAAGGTGATATTGATATTCAGAGATGCACCTTATTTCATGCAAATGGCCAGTCAACACTTTTACCTGGGTGATTATTAAAGCTCACTCCTTGTTAGTTTCATGAATGCCACTAAAGTGAAAGTCACTTAATCTTAATGTTTTGAAAATGGTGTTTAATTAGCAAGGAAATAGTAACAACTTGAAGTAGAGCAAGTTGTACTTCAAAGAATCTGGTTATAAGTGTCCTTCTGCCTCTATCCTGTATGTAATAGATTCACCATACGAATAATGTTGAGGTTAAGAAGAAAAAAGATAAATCAATTTTCACCTTGACGCGTGGTACCACTTAAAGTAGATTGGAATTAAGACAAAGCTAAGAGTAGTCATATTACGAATTATCACAAAGGCAGGAAATCTGAGTGTTGGTTTGATGTGTTGAGAGATTTAGGTTGCTTGGTTGGAGTCTTCGAGACGACAAATATCAATAGTTGAAAACTCATAGTGATATAGCGAAAAATCTATCTCAATGGAGTAGATTTATACGCTCTTCGTAATCTTAAGCATGTTCATTAACCTCCAACAATTCATTCTCTTGACGTATATGTCTTTCTTTCCACCCACCTTCTTTGTATGGAATAGTTAACAGTGACAATTGAAACTGATTCATTTTCGAACGAGGTTCTATGTTGATCTGTTCCTCTGAGAACATTGTACTCGTAACCACTATTTTTGAAATTTAAAGTTTATTTTATTAGATAAATTCGACTCCAAAAACAAATAACGATTACTCTAAATTCCATTGGGTCGAGAACTGTTTCTTGGTAGGATTTAAAAAAACGAAATTCCAGTATTCATTTTCCATTATGCACATTCAAATGAGTATGCCATAGCAAGCATTCATGAATCAGATTCCCCAATACCTGCTAAAAAGGATTTGCTAACCACGTTTGTTTTTTTAAGTTTCAGTTCTTTAAAATAACATTGAATCTCATATTGAAAGAAGGATAACAGCCTTTTCCAAAATTCTGCCCAGGTTTTGTTAATAAGGTTAACTGTTATTCATATTTATTTGTAAGTGATCAATAACACTAGCGATTCGTAGATCCAAAGGTAAATACCTTTGTAAAGCGTTTAAAAACCCACTATAGTATGAGTCGATAAAGTCATTTTCTATTCATATAAATGAGCACAGGTTTGAACAACTCAGTACCAAGTTGTATCTAAGACTGTACACTCTACAAAAGCCTTAAAATACTGTAGCTAGACTGCTCACATGTTGCAGACATAAGCAATCATCAAATAGAGAGATAAAAGTTAAGAATTTCACGATGGGATAACTAAATAAGTTTATGCCGTTTATCTTATTAGTACAAAGGTGAGGACTTTAAGAAACGGAAGGCTAGACATATAATTTGGGAGCAGGCAGGAAACAATGTTTGCAGGAAAGAAATGTTGATACAGAGTCCACTGTAGAAAAGGCTAACAATACCAAATTACAACCTAACGAGCTTTTAAGAATAAATTTATAAGAAATAGGTTCATAATCTGAAGAAACGTTGTGCTAAATTCAAGAAAGTGAAAAACGCAGTCTTATTTTTAAGCAACAGGAATAAACTATTTATCATTTGAGGCCAGACAATTTCAGAAAATTCTGTAAGTCAACAGAGACTGAGAACTCACTGTAGGATGAGTACACTACTCAACACTTTACCATTGAGTGGCAGGTTTAAACGCTTTCAAGCATAGTGAGATTTAGTAATCAACTGGCATCATTTTTAACACAGTCTATTAGATTAATAGCCTAGTATGTAATTTTTAAAATTGATTTCTACTACTTTCCTTAGTTTCATACAAAACTATATGAGGAAGAAAATATTTTCTGATCTGTAGTACGCGTAGAACTAGGGAATGCTAAACAACTTACAAAAAATATATGAAGAAAATCAATGCTACTGACTACTTTTACGATAAATTTGATGGAGCAAGTAAGATAACAGATAATTTAGCAAAGAAAATAAACACCCACCGAAAAGCCTGACCACTATTCAAAGTGGAAAATAGATTGAAATCCATCGGATTTACAGGTATTGCATACCAATTGTTTACTTGTCTCTGAAACGAGAAAGTATACACCAAATGATATTAAATAATACACTTCATAACTACACTACACATAGTTGAACTACAATGCTCAACATCCTTAGTGTATGACGAGCTTGATAAGAATCTTCGACTGCATGTCAATTAGTTGACTGATTGTAGAACCGAATATACTGCGAAATTATTCCCTTCTTCGTCAAAAACATGCTTACAGATTAACGCCGTAGTCACATGAACTTCAATTTAGAAAAAAATATACACAAATTTGCCTTAATCTTTGTATGTGTGATTGTTGGTAGGATAAATTATTTTTGAACCGAGAAAGTATATAAAGTTGGCAAAAAAACATTAGTGATGATAAGATTATTCTAAAGTTCAGTCATCATTCCATATAAGACTAGCCTATAGTGTAAGCTAGTATACAGTATAGTGTACAGTGATATAGTGTTATTTATCAGAAATCGTTTCGAGCAGAATTTGTTGTTCATAATCACATCAAGAAAGTCACACAACTTTCTGGTCTAACTTTCTATAGCCTTTCTGTTTCACATTCTTCGATTTGACTGGTAGTAAAATATTCCATACATCCAGAATTACGTCATTTAGAAGATATTAGGAACATTTCACTGCCAACTAAATCAAAAGATGAAAAACGATTGGATTACATTCTGCCAATGCCTAAATTCTATACATTCAAACAAACATTATTCTCGTTTATAAATACGATGGATTTTAAGCGGGTGTACTACGTGAAGCAAGATGAACAAACACAGGTGATTAGAGATTTGAAATCAGCTTTCTCTAACGAATTACATCCAGAACAAGATAATACTAACAATTCAGTTTACTAACAAATAATATTGAAACTTCAGTCGGAGTTTTACGCGAAACTCTGGGGCCGGTTAGTAAGGTTGAAATGCATTATGACTAAAAAGATATTCACGCATCACCAACTAATAACCTGACAAAAAGTGCTGCTGTCGAGACGTCAGTATATGAAGTCAGAATTATGGAACAGAGATGTATCATCAAAAAACTGATACATCACAGTTCATCGTTCATGAAAATAGGATTTCGGCTACTAAGAGACTGAAGAACTTGCACGCGTTGTGTTCACACGACCATTGGGATAAATAGACTACAGGAAAAGTAGAATCGTAGGAAATATGAAGATGATAATCCTCGTCGCAAAGAGTACCTGAGAATTGACTTGAATGACATTTTCGTATAACAATTATTTGTGTACCTAAGAAGTTGAATAATTGTTAAGTTTTATTATCTTGTCCGGCAGTCTCCAGGTCGTAGTTCTCAACTTCACTCAAAAAAAGAACATGCTACTAATCCATAGATTCGTTGATCTAGATAGGTCATACCAATGTTTTATCTTTTTAGTAGTGTTCATTCCCAAGTTTTTCTGCGTGGCTTTGAAGGCTTCATTGAATGCCGTTTCGAAGTGCATTAAACGGATCTTATGATTCTAGTGAGCTGAAACACTATTTCCGTAGGTCTGCAGAAGGACTATAATAAAAATATCTGGGACCTTTCAGTCAATCGTATCACCACTCATACCTACGGAGAATTAGTGGCAAGAGATAAAGTAGGCAGAAACAACGCTGTTGCTATTACTGGAGGAGCTGTAAGATAGAAGAAATATAAGATATATAAGATCAGGATGGAGTAAACTACTGACAAATCCGAAATCATATTGTCAACTATTTCACAGACACTAGCCATAGAGTGCATAATTTCAAACACCACCTAAATATACAGACAAACGTTTTGTATAATACGGTGCATGTCTGAGTGCAACATCCCTGTAACATTTTTCATTATAGTCAGAGTAATATCTAAGTATCTATGTCGCATAAATAAGGGGCTAAAGAACGATAGCTAAATAATTAATTCAAACGGTATTCAAACCCTCCTTACAAGCATACTGTACTATATGTAGAATAAGTCAGATAAGATATAAACTATACAGGCTTCAACAATACACAATCCCACTTAATTATGTATATTATAATTAATTGTATATCCGTTTCAGCGTCACAATAAGTCTCGAACACCTATGAGGCAAAGGAATCTAAAAGCAACAAGAAAACAATGCTGAAGACAATAACTGTTATACTGAAGTAAAGGAAGAAAAGTGAAGGAGATGAAGGAGAAATGAATCATATTATCATGATTATCAATAAATGTAATACTGAGAACTGTAATATACGTGAATGATATTGGAAATTTTAAAAGTTGTCTATCTTTTGAGATGTAGCCTAATAACAACAAGATACGGAATGGAAGAAAGGGTAGATAACAGAGATAAAGAAAGAGACAACTAAGGATGATGAAGTGAGTCGGTGTGAAAATGGAAAAACACACAAACAAATCATTTCAAAGACAAATGACTAATAAAACAAGTGATTTATTGCAAACTAATTATTAAATAGGAATTAACAAATAAAAAGTTAATAAATAATCAAGTCGAGAAAAAAGAAAACACTAGAAATTATCAATAACGAAGCTATGTGGAAAGAGGAAAACAACGGGGAGCTCAAAAAAATTCACATATCTTGAAGGCAGTAACAATTATTTCAAATTCACACAGTAAACAACCGTTCAATAATGTTGTAACACAGGGAGAGATATTAGATAATTAGTTGTATCTCCTTTTAACTGATGGTTTAAATGCACTTGGCAAATATTTCTTTTTCATAGTACAAGGGTTGATTGACCGGAAAAACAACAACGTTAATCAGCATGTACACGCATACAAACAACAGGAGAATTTTGAATACACTCTCAATGAAATTCATGTCCATTTCTTAAACTAAATGACAGCATGCTTTAAAACCTGAGTGTTAAGATTGGTTTATAAAGATAGACAGTTTTAATTAGATAGGAGTGAAAGATTTTGTCAAGATATCCCTTAGATAGTTCACAACAAATGAGATTATATATTCAACAATAAATCAAAGTAGCGCAGTATAAATATGATAAATACATACATGTATCTATGCATCGTGGCTCCTAATTCAAGAAATATCATAAATTAACAGTAAATATTTTTATATGGATAAATATGGAATGAAATTAAGTGTGCACAGATGATAGAAATGAACTCCTTGATCATGGTCGTTATCATCATTATCACTCATATTTATTTCATGTAAAGCAAAATAAACATTTCAGTGGAGTATATCGCGTAATTGTCGAGTATACGAAATTAAAAATTATATGCTTTGGGAACAGGGAGTGTTCAAATTATTTGTTCAATAAGCTTCACTAAATGAGATGATACTATATCTCTCGTACTGCGAATTGTTATACGATACATCTGAAAAATAAAACGAAAAATGATTGAAGATAAAATAATTATTTATGAGAAGGAATGTGAAAAAACGGCATTAACACAATATTCATTACAGAATATATATGGACCATAGTGACAGCAGAGAGATTAGACATTAAACGTTCATGTTTAACTTTTCTTACTCAAATAATGATGTAAATGACTTTGATTCATCTCATGTACAGAAGACAATCTAGTTTTGTTGGATAAGTACGATGAAAAGATGCAAGCTTTTATTAAGACTTAGAGGGTCCGTTACTAGATTTTACAGTGTAAAATATTTTAACAGGAAAGTCTCTGCACAAATATTGCTGAGTATAGATATATGTAAGAAAATTGCTTCGTGAAACCTCTGGCAGCTACTTTCAACTTTTTTCTGATCAGAGAGATATCGTTAAAGACTTTAAATGAGATACTACGAATTAAACGTAAATAGTGGACATTTTGCCGAAAATCTCAATATCACTCTGAACATACACATATGTATATATTCCTCATTATTACTTCACTAAATTTCAATGTTTTGTAAACCTTAAACTTTGACATCATTGTCACGGAAGCCCATTGTTACATGAAACGGTGAACATAAATAGACCAGGCTCTATATCGTTAGATTTTTACTATAGTATGCAAACTAGTACGCCTTTTGTAATAAATTGATAGATTTTACGATTTAAGCGATAGCACAGCATTACTTGGATTGGTCTACCAAGATTTATTATTCCGAATTCTGTAGAAAAAAACCAGGAGCTACTTCATGTTTATTACAGTTTTGATGTTCTTTGTTTAATAAAACTGGTGTATAACATCACCAGGATTTTTTGAAAACAAAGCTAAAGATAATGACCTGAAATAATATTCGAAAGCATGTAGTTTTTTTCTGTCTTGTTGATGACACTGCAAAATAACGATGACCAATACTAAATTCTAAAAGTGGAACTATATAACAAGGTAAAGTGAATCTAGTGTTTATTAAAATATATTAGTCACGGATACATATGTACCGCATACAGAAATAGTTTCTGAAGTGATGTAAATCTGTCAAAAATATTCAGTATATAATAGCCAAGGAAATCATTTTTTACAACACCAAGGAACAAACGAATCGACTTAGAACCTGGTACAGAAGAGTAACTATTTAAAGACGCCACATTCAACTGCACCATGCAAAGAATCGGATAAGAATTTGATTAACACTAAAGTTGTCAAGGGTGAACACGAAAAGAGAAAAAATGGATGAAAGGTATGAAAAATGCTCAAAGTTTCAAGGCTGACAAGGAATGTACACGTCCACTATACCGAATGCTTATTACAGTCTAATATAAAGTTACTTTAGTAAACAGAATTAGAAAATTTCACATGCAGCAAAATATTTTTTCTTATAGTACATAAAAGTTTCCGAGGATATTCCTTACAAGCTGTCGCGGATATTATACGAAATAGTCACTCGACAGTGACAAGAAATTATCGCTTCATTTCACTAATGGTGTAAGTCCTCTAACATTTCAAGAAATTTTAGGAAGTTGACTGAAGGATCAAGGGTTTACCGAAGAAATGATAGTTCATACATAATGCAATACCAAGCACCATATTGATGCGCACTCACTGTGTACTCTGTGGTAGACATCAAAGAAGACAAACGGTTCACTAAACTTCCACAGAACCAAGACACTACACCCATATCCCAGTCATGTACGAATTATATATATATATATATATATATATATATATATATATATATATATATATATATATATGACTATTTAAAACAGATAAACTAAGCTGTTTATCTCACGAAAAAGATCAACATTTCGAAAATAAGGATAAATATATACTACCTTTGATTGTGTGTTAGGTTCCAATCGAAGTAGCACACCAACTTGTTGACCGCTGGTAATAACAATACCTGCACCAACAATATTTTGTGGATTAGGATCAATTCCATCCAAAACGCTAAATCCAAAGTTTTTAGTCTATGGACCAAACAAGAGTGAAGAATTTAAGGACAATTAGGCCAATAAAACTAAAACTGTTATAAGACTAGACGGCCAAAATAAACAAAGAATTACATTTTAAAAAATCACTATTATTTGCTGAGGTAAAAACTACTGGTTCACAATCTACAGTTGTTCCTTGTCATCGTAAATAAGCATGAAAAGATTAGAACTAAAAACCACAAAGAGCACAACAATTTCTAGTTCAGAAGTTCTGAATTTAGCAAACAAATACAAATGATTTTGCAAACAACATAAATATGCATATATAATAAGGGAGAGAGATAAGCATCAATAGGAATCGCTTACACCTATCTATACCTTATTCTATGTATATAAGCTAAATGACTGCAGGACAGTTAAATCAAGACGCAGGTTCACACAGCAAAGGAAATTCACTACATAATGACACAAATGCAGGACATCAACGGAGAGAAAACACTAGGATGGACGAAAAGTAGCTGAGAAGATAAAGAAGGAAAATTTGGAGACTGAAAAAATGTTCAGAACCCTGGAAGTAGTGAAAAATAGATAAGTACCTGAGATGATGATAACATTACGGAAATACCACAGAGATACTGATGACTGGTTTCTAAAGTCGTTAAGATCTTAACGAAGTAGCCTAAACTTCCTTATGCAACAAAACAAAATGAGAAACTTCACAAGTGACAAGCTTTACTAAACAATTCGCAAAATTAATCCTCTGCTAGCTAGTGCACGTTTTGATAGACGGTGGCTTGGCTTAAGCAAACAATGTCCTAGCTACATTTACACAATTTCATGCATTGACCTGCTTCCGGCGTTTAACCTCAAGCAACAAGGTGATTCTATCCCTACGCATAATTCTCTGGCTGCTTCATCTTATACACCAGCAAAATACGTCTCTACCCCAAAAGATAGAATGAACCGATTCCGGATAGCAAGCTAGCCTCTTGATAAGCTCAAAAATGACATAACGATCATTAACGCTTATAATTCAGCATGAAAGTTCAAAACGTAATCATGTTATAATCCGGTATTTGAGCGATTATACATATTTTCGGTATATTTAGGAAGTATAAAACTAATGGTCAAAAACCTGTAACCTCCTTATTTCATATCAAGCATGCCTCAAAGTCTAACACCATGACACAGCAGTAGTTAGTGATAGGATGTTGAATAATTCGACGGCACCACAGATGTAATTTGATGTCAAAACGGGTTTCCTGTACCTTAAAAGATGTTTCATCACCAACTAACCTATTATGACAGAGGTTGAACTTACTGAATATTTCGAAACAATCTTCAGAAGTTGCATTGCCAACAAATGTTAGCCAAGACAAAGTACTACAGTATTTTTTATAGTAAATGTAACTAAAATTACAGAATTAATGTAAGAATCGGTGAGTTTTTAAACTTTCAGTGTCATTGATACTGGTGTAAGTTCTAAGTTTGATAAATATCTGCATACTTAAAAGTCAATACTAAAATTGGCACACCACTGTATATTCGTGATATCAGATCTACTAAATTCAGACATTTTTTTTACCACATAATAACAACGCTTAAACAGCTAGTGAAAACCTAGAAGGATAGACTAGTTGTTTTACTCTAATTTTGGAATTCTCATCACTACACAAGGAAAAGTTATATACTGCTTCGCATCCGAGATCTCCATGTATGCCGGTAAGTATGACACTATTCAGTTATTCGGTCAAGACTCAATGAACTACCCTCCCTAATCTCAGTAGATCCTTGAGATGATATCACATCCACACGTGAAGTAAAATCCAGTTGAACACCAGTTGCTAATATGTACAAAGATGCCTTATTTGTCTTTTACCAGCAAATGAATCCTAAAAATCGTATAATGTTATCATAGTCTGAGAATATATAAAAGCTGTTTTCAAAAGAATAGTGATTTATTAACCTTATGAATATCGTTTTGAAGATTAGGGTGTAGAAGAACATAAACTGCAAAACCGAAATGTGCTAAAATAGTAACAACATCAACAGGTAAAAATATATAGCTAGTTGAAAGATTTATTTAGGAAACACATGAACGTACCATCTAATTAACAAGATAATCACAGCTGTTATATATATAACCACCAGCTTGGTGTATTATTAATCAATTAGGTCACAAACTTTACATAAATATAGATCGATGAACAATAAAATTGTTCAGTAGTCCGAATGAAAGAATGTGCATGACAGTAATTAAACCACTCTAACCCTCAGTTACACACAAAATTATAAAGCATGAGTGTATGACGTACAATTATGATAAAACTCTATGAACTGATACTTGTTTAGGTGTCGAGCTGCCAGTAAATTATATCCAACTATAAAGTATATCTAAATTTTTTGCTCTTTTCCAATAATTGCCATTGTACTTAACAGTAATGTATTAAATGTGATAAGCAAATTGGTACCGTTTGATCGATACCGTAGAACAGTTTACATAGACGGAGATGTGGCTCAATGAATAAGTCACAAGACCTTCAATCTAGAGTGACTTTAAAGGAAACCCTAGCAACTGCTGAGATAAGCAAATACGGTTCTATATTTTATGGAAAACTTTAATATAGGTGTATGGAATTTATAGAAAACTATCTTGCCAACCGAAACATTATTACCTGATTGGTTATCTCAGCAGTTGTAAGGATTGCCTTTAAAGGCACTCTTCAATCTTTGAGGAACAAGTTTAAACTTCGCTCCAAGGTCTTTGGAATTCGCAGTCAGGAAATATTGTAGGATGTCACACAGTAAATGTAACTCAGTTTATTACATACACCTGGACTAGGTTCATATGTTCATGCATAGACAACAGGTCACATTAAATTTACGAATACGCACAATTATATTCTATTTAGCTGCGGCTAACTAAAATGAATAATATGGCTTTTAAGTAGTAGGCTAGCGGTTCAAATTTCATACATTCGGTTGAATTTCTATAAATAAAAAAGAAGGGGCTTTATGTGATAAGCGTAGCTCATTGTCCACCGCTAAAACCCATAGACGGTTGGTAGGCTGTGCAAAAACTGTAAGAGTAAACGGGTTCATGTTCATATAATAAACCATCAGCAAAAACGATGATGTAAGAGACAGTAATTCCATCTTCACTGTTGAGAATAGAAGTAGATTTGTTAGTAATCAAGGCAACCTCATAAAGCAAAGCTTTGTGATTAAACCACGAAAATGGTAAGTATAGGCACAATTGTATATTTTGCATATTGACTAAGCAACTTTTTAGTGCAATTATCTGTCACTTTACTGAGTATAAATACGACTGTACAGCTTGATAATGAAGTGGTTGAAAAGAAATGTTTTTTCGCTAGTAGGCATAATTAGCTTAAACGATATTCAATATAATAATACTGGTCAATGAGGACACTAACTTCATGACTGCAGTTATGCCTAGATGATTTTTCATTCTCTAAACTGAATGATTTAACCACAGGTCTCCAGATCCAGTTACATATCACTGTAGTAGAGGATGCTATCTAACAAAAATTGAGAATGGATGCCATACATTCTAATGCCCAAACCACTTTATTGATGACTAGTTTTCATAGTATTTGGTTTTGTGGCTATGTAATTGACTGGGAAAAAGGAAAACTTGATAAAAACAACTGTTCTATCTGTAAAAAAAATCTCATCACCACTATAAAACCAAACCAGTCTAACCGGGATTTTCATTCAAAGAAAGGTATCCTTTGTAAAACCTTTTGCATAATATCTGTACCGAAATCTAATCAGCCTATGTTTGTTCTTGAAAGGTATGACGACATAACCGTACAAAATAAGGAGTGATACGTTCACACGATACTCGTAGCTATTCATTTTAAACATAGGACATCAAAAAGCCGTCATCAGTGAAAAGATGAAACCGGAATAGAAATTTGTTAATAAACAATACTACGTCACCGATCAAGGAATTAAACAATTTCACTTTGAGCTACAATATCATTTACACTAGTTGATACAAGTGATCACTTCAGTTTGTGAAACATAATAACAGAAGTGGAACTTACAATAGTTCTCACTGAAGATGTTTCCAATGGGAAATGTGCCGGATTAATTTTCTGACACTCTTGACCAGGCCTGGGAAAAGAGTAAAGTAAAACGAAAAGGAGTGTAACGACAATAATAATTTTTGTATAAGCTCATATACTTAGCTAAACGCGAAATTCTTGCGTTATCCTATAACACAGATTACATGTTAACTTACGCAGTAATAATTACCTGAATGAGCAGCATCATTATTACAGGAGAAAAGTGATATATGAAGCCGGCTTTAACAATCGTTTATTTATTCAAGAAAACAGAAATCAGGCAAAGAAAAACTGAATGCATCATGTTGAAAATAGTCCCTACCACTTATAATTATGAAATGAAAACAGTCATTCCGGGGTCTTATACAACAGAGATAAACATGCAAACCTACAACCAAGTATTTCATGCACGAGTTCCTTTTTGTGAATTTGAAAAGGGCCAGAACAACAGTGGGAGCAGAAAAAAACGGACCTATTTCGTCCCGGCCATTTATTGTCAACTGTTCACACCCTAGAATTATCAAAATATGTAGTTTACATGAAAACTTAAAACATCTCGACTCACTGAGGGAAAACAGAATATTGATCGATGGTTTAGACAGAGAAATAGTCGTAGCGTAATGGTAAATCATAACAGCTAATTCAAGGAAAGTTAATAAATGGTAACAAATTGTCAAAATTATAAACACAATTTAATTGAACTTTCTCGAATAGAAATAACGACAAGGGTAGAGATCCGAATATCCAGTGGCTTAACATAACAGGAATACGTAAGTATTTTGAATGTAGTGTTTGTTAACTTACCTAATGACTGACGTAACCTCATATTTTAAGTCTTTCCTAGAAAAACTTCAATCGCATTTTGTGCATAATTGTTACAGTTTGTCATACTTCATTAATCTTCCTTGGATCTGCCATTACTACTTGCCGACTACACTATAACTATTTCCGTCCATCTTAACGGCGATTCTACATTCTGTCTTCTTCTAATGAGTTGAAGTGCATTAAATTTTCAATAGAACTATACACTTCGGTATCGCGGGTTGTAGGCAGTTGAAAAGATATCAACAAAATAAAATGGATTCATTTTATCCTAATTCCACTGTTGTTCATGCTCTTTTAAAACCACATGTTTTTTCACACATTTTGGATGAAAAAGCACTCATTTCTTCAATGCTGAGCATGCTAGGTGTTCACTAAACAGAATCTTCACTTGCAATTAAACAGTCAAGAAATGATTAGATGGCAACTCTAAACCGACATGAATCATAAGATATTCATCTTCACGCATCGGACACCAAATAAAAAGAGATACAGTTATCAAGTCCTGTTTCTTGAATGCTGACTGAATTCTACCGATCGAGTTTACAATGTAGTCACTAAGATGCATGAGGTAATACCGTAAGCCAAGGCATGCATATGTCTCGAAAACATCTACATTTCTATCTGCATTTAGAAAAAGAAACATGTTACAATAAACATGAAATAATGTTCACAAGATAAGAAAAATATGCAGCTATAAAAATATATGCATAAATCCAAAACTAAGTATATGATATTGAATTTTCAGGGTTTTCTAGGGATTTAGACTTTTCCAGTTGGTATTCATGATAGACTGATATCAGTTGGAAGAAGATTGGAAACGTCGGAGCACTGGACAGCAGTTTCGTCCTAGCATGGAACTCTTCAGCAGTGCATACCCACGACCAGGCCAGGGGTGGAACCCGCAACCTTCAGATTCCGTGGTCAGCACGTTACCATTGAGGTGCTGGGTCGGAATCCAGTGGTCAATATTCCCAACTTCTATCAGTTCACGACATATCGCGGCCACCACCCAATGTCATCATTGATTATTGTTCCTCACGGCCACCAGGTTTGCCTCACTGGTCACCACCTCTCACTGGAACTTTAAGAATCACCTCTCGAAGTTAGTCACTGATGAGCACCAGTTCAATTCACTTTTGAGGGGAATGGATCCCGACCCTGTGGTCCAATGGTAACGTGTTGGCCATGGAACCTAAAGGTCGTAGGTTCCACCCCTGGCGTGGTCATGGGTGTGCATAAATAAATTGTCCAATAATAAAAGTTAAATTGATTAAATGTGTTGGCTGTTTCACCTACTTAGAAAGTAAGAACAGGCGTGGTCAGTCGGTGACTGATGGGATATCTCAGTTTCAAATGGTACAAGTCAACTTATACACTACTACTTATGGGGTCACCAAAACTGCCTTCTAGGTCTCAACTCCACTACGGAGTAGATCGTTTTCTAATCTATAGCTGCGAAATATGCTCACCGTTCGATGTTGGAAAATAATGAAAAACATACATTATTTGAAGGTTTGTAATACAATTCGGTTACCCAAACGTCAGTAGGAGTACAGTTTGAATTTGTGACGCTCCTGACTCAACAACTGATAACGTTTCAGTAACCAGATTTCATGTATATGGTAGGTAGCATAATATAATGCCTATGCACAGTCTACAAGAATAAGAAGTTTGACCTCTATTATAACCTTGGTATCATTATATCCGAGAAAAATTCATGCATTGTAGAAAGAACCAAGTTATTATGAATATATTAGTAATGAATATTTACATACAATGTTGTGATTTAATTTTGCTCGAAATGTTACCGAAATAAACAATATTATTGTATGTAAATAATTATTACAAATATATTTACAATAAATTGATTCTCACCATAATGCAAAAATTTCTGACGGATATAATAATTAATACTGACAGTCTTTCGGCTAAAAGACTGGTCAACAAGCTCACACATTCAATCCAAACGGAAGCTACATTTATGAATCACAGAATTTTGAATATCAGATGCCTTAAATATGAAATTAATACAATACATACTAAATTCAAGTTATCTATATTTACAGACAGAGCTAATGCAGCTCTTACTCATGCTTTAAGAGTATGCATACGAGAAAACCTACATGGTATTATCAAAAAGCTTTCTGATACAAATAATTCCAACAATTGGTATCATCATGAGCAGTGAATTAGCTTGAAATATTACCAAAATCAAATATCATTATTGTGTGTAAATATCCATTGCAAATATATTTTTTTTTAATAAATTAGTATTAATTACTCTAAATGTCATGCTTCTCTACATCCACAATCAATACTAAAGACATAAACTCAACAGGCACAAAACGTAAAGCTTACTGAGATAATAATTTCCATCGTGAAAAGAATGTTCCTTGATCCATTTCTGCAGGTTGAAGGAACTTATTCAAAGTGATTGGAAGCATAAGTGCATAGTGCTGTTTTGAATCATCACATCTGAGTGAAAATAGAAAATATTGCATTATTATTATTATGAATGATTTTAATTCGAAGATTTAAAACTGTTAGGAATTAATTCGAACTTTTTATATTCTGTTAGTATAACCCAATACCACAAATTCATGAAAAAACCTCACCAAGGATTTTCTAAGATCTGACGACCAAACAAGAGATAATGAGCTATTCCGCAAATAACTTCTAGATAATGTTTATAAAATGCACTGCTTTATTACTGTTTGTCTACAAATGAAGGTTGATAGTGCTGTGAGCTACATTCATACTAGGTAACTAGGCCGTTGTATTTTTAACTTACATAGAATAAGTGTGGTCCATAGCTTAGTATACAAACCCATAACCAAGTTGAGTTCCATTAATTAATTAGCAAAGGTTCATACTGAAGGTCAAAAATTAGCATAATACTGACTTGGTAGTTGCCACGGATGTCTAGATTATTAGGAAACAGCAGTGGCATACGCCCATTACTACATAGGACATGGCTCGGGTATCTCAGTAGCGATGATCTTATTGTTACTTAAAACAACTCGTAAGATTCACTCATTTCAACTTCGAAATGTGGTTGCTAGCCATGTATACAAAAACTACAGCCCACTTACATGCAGCTCAGTAACTATGCCCACAGCTCTGTAATCGGATGTTTAACTGATTGTCTGAAGGTAAGTGATACAATCTACCTAACAAATACGAAACTGTTCATCACCTCATAAATAGAACTTTCCACAAGACAGTTCTGTTCTGAAAGTTGATTTTTCCTAACCCCGTGTTTTTACTGAGGGTCACTGAACATTAGTTACTAAAAATTTCAGGATCCTAGTCATACAGCATATACTTCCTTCTACGAATTACACCAACATCTGCATGAATTATCGCCACGATCATCATACCATCCTTATCTATCTTCAAGCCCAATGCTGCAGTAATTAACAATGAAAGTCAACGTGGGCAGTGGCCCTACATACATGAACACATTTTTCAGTCAATAAAGTCACTAAAGGATTCACAAACTTCCCAAGCGACTTACTTTCCCTGATAAAAATTTTACATCTGATCTCAACAGTTTTCTTAATACGGTAGTGTGACAAGTGTAGAACTGGAGAAAGTACTCCATGATTTTATCTCGAGGTTTGTGAAGGTTTATTGGTTGATTTTAGGTTGGAATTCATCATCAGTTGGAAGAACATTGGAAACCTGAGGGCACTGGACAGCTGCTTCGTTCTGGTATGGGACTTCTAAGAAGTGCGCACCCATGACCCTACCAGGGATCGAACTCAGGACCTTCAGGTTCCGTGGCCAGCACGTTACCATTGGGCCACTGGGTCGGAACCCAATCCTGAGTTAGATCTCTGGCGGGGTCATGGGTGCGCACTGCTGAGGAGTCCCATACTGGAACGAAACAGCTGTCCAGTCCTCCCACGTTTCCAGTGTTACTCCGCGATTTGTCTGATAATTCAAGGATCTTGGAACAACTAACGAAGTATGTTACATCAAGATTCACACTACAACTGTTTATTCTAGATATGTCATTCACTTAGTGAGGCCAAATAACAATGATAAATAACGTTTATGTAAAGCGTTGGTGAAAACATCACTTACAAGAATGACACACTAAGTTTTACTACTTCTGTAAAGGGACGTAAACATTCAACATTCAATCCTTGTTGAACTTGTGTTCCTGCTTCTATCCGATCCGGTCCTGGTTGTAATTCAATTGAAATGGCTTTAACAAATTCATTTACATCCATTGCATCTGGACACGTTACTTGAGAGCAGAATACCGTGAATGGATGAGTGGATTTATTCCCATAAAATACTCCTAAACGACAAAATTGTCCACGACATTCCATTCGAATACCAATACGGATAAGATTATTTTCGTATAGAATGGCATTGTGTCTACTCAAAAGCTACTCAAAGAAAAGAGGAGGAAATGTTGTCATACACTATTGCGATTAAATTATTCAAAGATATTTGAACTGAGATTCTCATGAGCATTTTTGTAATCAAACAAAAAATTATATTGCTTACGTTAAGAACTAATAATTATTGAATAATATTAATAACACGTATAATGCTGATTTGCAATCAGTAGAATACAGAAGTAAATATGCATAAAATACAAATAATTACAAGAAACATGGTAAAATATGTCATGTCACACGTTTCTACTAAATAGGCTGATGAAGCTCTCATTTGTTGTTGATTAACAAATGTTAGCTTGTAGTTTTAAAGAAAGGCAGATAAACATACTCCAAATTCAATTTACTCTCAGCTGTACAACAATACCAATAATCACAACCATCAATATCATGCGAAGGGAAATGAATGTAAGTAAAGGTTGATTAGCATAAGTAATTCAACTACAGAACACAGATAAACAATTGACTGTTAGTTTTAGTCATGCTTTGATTGATAATTTATCCAAGTGTTTCTCAAATATTAGGTGGCATAGCTCAAAATCACTTACAGTTATGAAAATGTGGTCCTTAAAATCTCGAATATTTTACTACCTTTTGTGTATTTGTTCAACATTTCCGCGTCTCACTGCTTCTAAATTTCGTTAACTTGTAGTTTTGAGAAACCGCTCTGAGATTTTTTTGCCATGCCTCACTAACAAGTTCACCTCTGAATTAACTAAATTTCTCTGAGTGTCACAAACCGAGACGTAGACGTCAATTTGCTACTTTGCTTAGTTAATCTCAATCATCTTTCATCTTACGATTCCATCACCCCCTTCTACTGAAAAAAGCATACAGTATGTGAGGAGTGTTATACACCCTTCTCAAAGTCAAATAATCATTTGGCTTACACTACTACTTCCTATATCACCAATACTGATTATCTAACGCAAGTAGTAAAAATTCGTTTATGAGCTTTCAAGTGTATGAACATAAAAAAAATAAACGAATCAACAGCTGAGCAGTACTCAAAGCACCAAGATGGCGGTTAACATTAACATTAGAAAGGGCGATTTATTTACAATAAAATTGGGAAAAAAATTCAGATGAAGTAAACAACTAATATCTAGCTAAATGAAGTGTTTAAAATATCCAGTTTTATAACTTTTAATGACCTGATTGGATACAAATATGAACTATTCCTACATAAAGAACTATCCACTCGCAGGAAAAGCTGATAGTGGTTTTGTTTAGATGGTGGAAATATTTATCACATATCGAACATCAATTAAACACATAAAGTGTTGTTTGAAAGTCAGTACTGGTTACATCAGTTGAAAGGATTTTTTCTCTTTCTTTTACAACAGTGCGCTAAATAATTTATAAGTTAAATATATGAGTTTTCTCAATATCTGCTACGGTAACACAACTCAGTAAACACCTGGTGGTTAAAGTTACACTACAAACAACACGTGGTATATATTGTAATTGGAAAAACGGTAAGTATAGCAGATTTTCAAACCTGACTTGAAACAGAGTTGACTTAGAAGTTTCAACATCACCGAGTTAAAGTTAAGCAAAAAACCGTTTCAGCTGGAGTTGCCGAAAACAATCAATTATCTTTATCGTATCAAAATGCCATTGAACTCCGAAACAAAAGTCTCTAGTTCACTTCAAAAAAGATTTGACGACAGCATGACAAGCAGATATTTCATAGGTGAAGGGAATTCGGAATCTCATTTCTGGAAAAATGCCATTCCGGGTCCATTTAACCATTTGGTCATGTGTATGCTCAAGTATAATATGTGTTGTAAATTATTCTAAAGTACTTTTTCCGAACTTCGAGGAACATGCTATCACCATAGACTTCAGAAAACAATATTTGTGCACAATTTACTTTTATGAATCAAAAAAGCTGTATGACTGCTGACACGTGTAGCATGAAATATGAGACTGAACTCACACTAAGTTGTATATCTCAGCGCGAATACCTATGAAAAATGGTACCTTCAACGTGTAGAAGTTTTAGTATCAGTAAACTTTGTTCGGAAATAAGTAAACCATTTTCATGGGGTTATTCTGTTGTATTAAAAAAATTTTTTTTAATTGAAGAGATGAATTGATCTAAAATGAAGGATGGTTTTACTCAGCTGATTAGCATTACCTTACCACAGGTTTTTAAATGAAATCCAAGATGTTACGGACTCATCAATTTTGACTGACTGATACGCTAACAAAATCAACGTAGAACATAGCACATAAATGAATCGGCTCAAATTGTCACACTTCATAGCAGGACACAGAACAGGTGGATAGAAAAAGTGATATCCAGATAGAGTTGACAATAAACTTAAAGATAATGCTTAGTGTGAATATTTTGGCTTTAGAAGATGTTGAGAATAAATACATCCGCGCAATCGTGAACGATTATCAGCCATGGTGCCAAGAGTCCTCACCCATTGAGTCCTTTTGTAAAAGAGTGGAATGAGATTACTAAAATCTTCATAAGTAGCAATAAACCGTTAAAGGCTTTTTCAACCAACCGCTTTCCTTCGAAGTTTCAGGAAAAACGTGTGAATCAACGTGTAAGCATCGCGTTGGTTGAAAAGATGAAAAACTGATAGAATTTAAATCTAGTAGGTCTGGAAATAGCCACTGAATTTTGTATATACTGTGGACGTTGCCGTTTATGGTATGAATACATATTCTGCTTTATCACCGCTTTGTTTCCATTACGGTTGAACTGAGGGTGGAATCCGAAGGTTATTCTACAAGCGACCACATATATACATACTCAGGTTATGTCAATTCACTGTAAACATAAAAAAATGACGACTGCAGTTATAAAACCATTCCTCTCAGGGACCCAAACCAGGTAGTCTATATTGACCCACACGACTCAGGTCAACACCCAAAGACTTCATTGACTGGTGCCACGTCTTCGTCTGCCTACCCTAAATACCCTTCAAACCTAACCAAACATACCCCAGTATGACATGTCGAGCTGGACGGTGGCTCGGCATAAGCAGTACATGTCCAAGCCATTTCTCAATCAATGAAGGTTCAAACCCGATCAATCGACTTGCCTGACCACAATATCGCTCACACAGCGATTCCACCACACACGAACAATGCTACGAAGATGCCAATCATCAAAACCCTGAAACCGCTTCATGTCTTCTACGTCTAACAATCATGTCTCACAGCCGCATAACAAGGACAAAACGAACTGCAGCCTAATATAGTGGTCCTTGCATAGGTAGTCAGATATGTTTCACCTCTAGACCCCTATCATACTGTGGTAATTTACACCACAACGGCGACTGCCTTTCGTCTTACCTCAATCTAACAGATCACTCTGGGATGGTAGTATAGTATATACTGAGAAGGCGGCAGAAATCATAGGGAATTACCAGCAATGAGTAAAGATTCTGCCCAGAGAAACATAACATACAACGCGGGCATATTAAGAGCAAGTCAAGATAGAAGTAGGCACATTATCCAACTGACTGTCTTAGTTAGTGCAAGGTGTACCATATTTGATGACTAGGGTACAAAATGTTATCAATAAACATTCCTTCTTTCGTCTCCGTCTTGTGGTTTTCTACAATTGGTGTCACTGCTTCTGGATGTGGTGAAGATTCTATGACCTTCCAAGGTTGAAAATGAAGACATCTAGGTCTTCCTAGGGATTTTGAGTCGATCCTGGAGTTGGTGGGTGTCCGGGATCCAGAAGCAAAGGTCGAGTTATTAGATTTTGTTATCAAGATTGGAAGTCGAAAAATTAGATTTTCATTGATTGTCACCAAGCGTCTACAACGGACAATCCTAGCTGCCGACGTTTTGAGAGAAGTAGGTGCAGTTGTTAACACGAGAACAGTAGTGGTGACAAAAAACAGGTTGTTCACCACGCAGGAAAACAGTGAGGTAGCAGAATGAGGTATCAAAACCACCATACCGAGAAGCGCCAAACATCATGAAGTTGGTTAAGAAATATGACAGATTGTTCACGGGAGATACAGACCCTTACGGATATTGTGACAAGGTTCAGCATGACATCCCAGTGACAAGTCAAGCAATGACACCTTTTATAACGTGGCGAATACCATGTCACTCAGGAGGAGAAGTTGGGCGCCAGGTTCAGGAAATGTCAGATCAAGGCATTAGTGAACAAGCCGATAGCTCATACAGTTCACAAGTGCTACTAATAATGAGAAATATAGGTTCTGTGTTGATTTCCGAGAGTTAAATACTATAACGCCACTGAAGCCCTGTGCCATGCCGACAATAGCTGAAACACTGGATCGTCTACAGAATACAATCAGGCTACTGGTAGCTACCAATAAAAGAAAGCAATAGAGAGAAAACAGTATTCATGGTGAGCAAGAACCAATGCCAATTCAAGTGAATGCCATTTAGTTTTGCAGGCGCGCCATTTATATTCAGACGGTTGATGTTGTTGCTGACAGATTGAGACAACATAGAGGTGTATGGTGACGACCTGGTGGTGTACAGTCAGACGGAAGCCGAACATCTAGAACACATGGAGGCTGTTTTAAGACGCATTGATGAGTGTGGACCTCGCATCAGTAAGACAAAATCTCAGGTAGCCAAGAAAAGTGTTACATCACTAGGACGCTAAATAAACGGTAAATAAAACCATTACTTGAGAAGATTCAGACGGTTAAAACCATTCCAGTGCCGAATTTAAAGAGGAAACTGCGATAATTCTTGGGCAGAACATCATTCTAAAGTCTGCTCTTCAAAAATTTCAACCAGATAGTGTCACCTCTATACAAGCTGCTTGGTAACCCCAAAATTTACGTGGATGGAAGAGACATAGAAAACGTTTGATCACATCAAGGGACTCCTAAATGACCGGCAGATGACCTTAAAACTACCAATAACTGGGGAACTAATCATTATGTCCACCGATGCAAGTGATTATGGGATAGGCACAGTTCCGAGACACACTGAAGAAGCAGTGTAGCATGCCAGTCATGTCCTCACACTTGCAGAACAGAAATTTTGCACGGTTGAAACGGAATGTCTGGCGACAGTTTGGGTACTGGATAAATGGAGATTGTACCTCCTCGGTCAATGATTCCATATTGAAGCTGATCATAAACCTGTACAGTGGATAAGGACAGGGAGAGACTCTACAGGAGACTTATCACGTTAGATGTTACGACTGCAAGAGTGCAACTTTACAATTGGCCACGTCACACGGAAAGAAAACTGGTTGGCAGACTTCTTATCAAGATCAGACGAAGAAAATGAGATCGCATACTGTGTATCTGCAGTACAACAGGACCTATTAAAACTTGTTTGCCTTTTAAAGTCGAACCCTACAATCAAAGAAGGAACGGAGACAAACAAGCCTGTGGAAAATAAAGAGTTGAGAACGTTTTTGACACAGAATAAACGCCTACGGGTGAATACTTATGGAATGCTAACTTGGCGAGAAAACGACAGGAGCTGGTTGGCAGAGATTCCGAAATGTCTACGCGACAAAATGTTAGAAGAATGCCACCAGTTAGCTCATACAGGTGTCTCACGGACCTTCTCAGACAAAGTGCATACTGACCGGGTATGAGGAAGGATGTTGCCAAACACATTCTGGGCTGCAACGTTGTCAGTTGATGAAAGTTGATCGACATTTACGACCGCCGTTTCAGTCGACTCCAGTTGCAGCAGTTGGTGATCTGTGGAAGTAGTGGGACCATTTCCGCAGACATCTGGTGGCAACCAATACTTGTTGGGGATGACTAAGCCTGCTACACGATGGTAGATGCCGTCGCGATTCCTGACCAACGCTAGAAGACAGTGACCACCGCAGTGATGCTGCATATTGTTGGGGATCATGGTGTGCCCAAGATGATATTGGCCGACCACTGTCCTTGTTGTGAGAGTAGAGAATTCAAATCTTGTTTGGAGCAGCTCAATATCAAGAGGATAAGAACGACACCGTATTACTCGTAGACTAACGGGTTAACAGAACGGAATAACCGTACGTTTAAGGAGTGGCTGGCTTCGAAAAGAAGGAATTGGGAGACAGAACTGCCGTTAATATATTCTTAGCGCATTGTGCCTCGGTACAAGGAACAACCAAGAGGTTGTCGTCTCAGTTAATGTACGTTAGGAAACAACGGCTCCCAATACACACTAAGAGCTGGCCCCAACAACAGTCATGGGACATGACAAGATTGGGAAAGGAGCGGAAACAGGCAATCAGAAATTTGGAACAAAAACAGAAAGCTGAGGTTGAAAAAGCCGAGCAGAGAGAAAGAAGTAAATGGGAACCGTTTGAGGCTGGAGATCAAGTGGAATGTAAAGAACACGAATATATGTCAGGAGGTGAATATGGTATAAGAAAACCGCTCTCGAAGTGGGAAGGACCGTACATCGTTACCGAGAGACGGGGTTGAGTTTATACCATCAAAAAAAGGTACAAAGAGAAAAGAGTAAACATCTGTCTACTTCAGAAACGAAGGTGGGGAAAAGAAACATTGCATGAACACCAAGAGAAGACAGCATCAAGATGATTAACATGGCTGCGAACCCGAAATTTTGAGGGCGGGGGGACAAGTATACTGGGTGCTATTGGTCAGAATGGATATATATAGTATTTGTTGAGGCGGAAGAAATCATAGGGAATTACCAGCAATGAGTAAAGATTCTGCCCAGAGAAACATAACATACAACGCGGGCATATTAAGAGCAAGTCAAGATAGAAGTAGGCACATTATCCAACTGACTGTCTTAGCTAGTGCAAGGTGTACCATATTTGATGACTAGGGTACAAGATGTTAATAATAAACATTCCTTCCTTCATTTCCATCTTGCCGTTTCCTAGAATATGGCTTCAAGGGAAGAAGCGTTCGACCAGCAAATCTGGTTAGGTTATTGTGATATGCAAACCCGACCACCACGTCCAGTTAGCAGCTACCGGTCGGGACTCATCAGTTCAACCAAATAGTGCAGGTATCGGTCTCTTGACATATCCATTGTTTGAAACTGACAAATGCTTTATGGATGAAAGTTTTGAAGTAAATCAAAAGTATTTAACCAATCCACTGAGAAAGGCAGAATTAACATATACTATTCAATAAACAAAAGGTCAAAATGATGTAACACACAGATATTAACAAACTATTATTACCGAATCGATGGACATACTTTATGAATTCTTTATGATTCATATATTGATCATCACTTGCATGAAGTAAATTGTTAATATCTGGGGATATCGTACCATTACCCATTATATCGACCAGTAGATTAGGTGCATTCGATTTTGAACGGACCTCATTACTTGCAGCACCAAGATTTCCAAAATTCAGTAAGTCCGCTTCACCCGTTATGTCATTCGTATTCACGTGATTGCTCTCATTATTAATCTGAGAAAAACGTAAAATAAAAGTATATACTCGAGTAGTTAGTAGGCTAGGTTAAATAGATACACGATATCAACAAGGGACCAGGCATTCCAGCCTAACAAATTAAGTTGTCAAGCCTTACATCAGTATATCAAGAAGCAAGATATCAAAATAAAAATAGACAAATAAAAATGTATGATCAAAAGTAGTATTAAGTCGTAATAATAAAGGAAAAAGTAATAAATCAAATGACAAAATGCCTTAACTATTAGGATGAAGATAATGTGTGGAATTTATCTGTGCCACTGAGAACGATTCTGAACCATATTACCTAGATTCTCCAAATAGCATCTTCAAGTTTAGCGCAGATCTCAACGAGGAGGTTCAGATGACCTACACGACTTAGACCACCAGTCATAGTCCTCGCGTGCTGATACCACGTTCTGGTCTGGTCAACTTTAACATAGCCTGTCGAGGCAGACGTTGACTAGACATGCATAACATCTCCACATAACGTGGGCCGATAAATGTTTACAACCTAATAAACCGACTTCCGCTTTCAACTTCGATTCAACGCTTAAACTCAGCATTGTGAACGAGATGGTTCCATAAAATACGGCCATTGACAAAAAGGGCATCGGTTGTCCAGTGTCTGGAACCTTCTCCTGTGTATCTAATTTCAATTGCCCTGTTTTACAGCCATCTAGTGGGAAAAGATGACCTGTTGTGCAGTACACTCAACTCTTAGTAAGCATTAGGATATCTCGTCAGTGAAGTTGCAGCTCATTGGTTTGGTCAGTCGACTTCTAACCAGTGAGTTGTGGGTTGGAACCCCATTCAACCTACTGAGATTTAAGCAGCCAAGTAGTATCATTAGCCACCACACAATATGGGTTTCGTTTCTTACTGAATGAAAATGTACATGGTTACTGAGATAAACCTATCAGAACTGATTCGACTCCGAAAGTAAGTGAAGTGAAGAACACGCTCAAACAAATAATGATAAAACTGAACCCGGGGGAATTTTCATGCACTACGCTGTGAACTACACTTGTGTGAGAGCTTATGATACTACATGGTTCCCCAGGCCAAAGTTACTGGAGTGAGTTTCGAACCCAGAATCTATTGTTCGAAAGTTAGGTTTTTAGGTCAATGGGTCACACCCTAAAGGGTGCACTCGTCATTGTTAAACAAATCACTAGTCTGAATAAGCCCTGATTGCTCAATTTGTATCCAGAATGCAGAAGACACATTCCACAAGTTCTCAAATTGTCATTCAAAATGCGCAAAAAAAAAGTATATTGTCAGTATCTTTACCCAGCAGGACCTGCTATCTATGTATTCTAAGTTTGCCGAGGTGTCTTTCATAAGGTCAATGGTTCTTCTTTTAGTGAAGAGTGTGACTCTCGTAAGTATGTACACGACACAAGTTCAGATAACTCGAAGGAATTTTGAGTTTATAATAATTCCGTTTTAGCTGAGAGCCACTCAGAATTAATCGGTGGAAAAACTTAAAGTTTTATTCCTGTTGATGATTACTATTAATAAACTTTGTACGTAGTCAAAGAAATGTATGTTGCCTCTTACAAATGGAATGTATCGTTTAGCACCAACACGAGGTAGAAACACTATAAAATTGTATTTCTTCTCAACTCTCCTGTTTTGTGGCATAAACCCTAACTTACAATGCAATGATTATGAACTTAGAAATTAGGTGTTGAAGTAAAACAGAAATGATATCAAAACGGTGAAATAGCAGTGACAGATGGGGAAACATTTACGACATATGCATAGTGAAACCTTAAACAGGAAATCTATCTACTGTAAAGTCTTGATGTCGACTGTCGAATAACTACTTTTTCCAACCTATCACAACTACAAGTAAGCCATCCAGTGACCATTGCCAATAATCAAAGTCATGGAAACCACATTCTTAGTCTCCCAAGACCCCGCTATCAACTTCATATTGGAACTTCCAACATCTGAACTCTATACAAAATAGAACATTATGCATTGCTAGCCGGAACTCTAGAATCTCGAGCTAGGTATGTATGCTGTGCCTATGAGACACAAGATCCAAGTATTGTTATTAACTTTAACCTCACCAGACGAATGTCATGATATACAAAATTCAATTTACGAGTTTGCAGAGATTCAATAACTAGCTCACATGAACTTACTATCTAGGCACAGCATTAAGTTCTCAAGCAGAAAGACCACTTCTCACTCAACTCGATACCAGTCAGCAGACATCTTTGTGCTGTCCAACATAACGGATTTGGAAGAATTGGAAACGATAGTGAAACTTGCTCATCCATATTCGTAATCTACCTCTCTCTCTCTCTCTCTCTCTCTCTCTGCCTATCCTCCCACTGACTCCAATTCGAACGATACAGAGCATAAATCCTATCACAAGCTGTCAATCTCTCCATATAAAACAAAATGTTTACATATAGCCATAGAACCCTGTGAACTCAACACTCAAGTAGGAAACCTCAGTTAGTAAGAAGGCCGCCTTGGAAATATCTACACCACTGCATGTCAACAAACCGACAACGGTAATAGTCACTCACAATTTTTTGATAATCTTTCCTTACTGGCCAACACTAACTTCAAGCATAAGGAGACATTTAGAATCTGCTGACATCAAACAGACGATATTCACAGACAGATCCTATCGCTATAAGCTATTGTTAACAGAGCATCGGTGGGTGATTGCAGCTATTTCTGGAATACCTGTTTGAAATCCGATCTCACGTTAATGCAGACACGTGTAAGTTTGCACTTTACTGGCAGCAGAAAACAGGTGGCAGTGAAACTTGTCTGTGCTCCATTGGAACATGACAACACGAAGTAAGTATTTAGGGAGGAGTTGGCTAAGCATTTATCTGACTATGACAGTGATGCTCATTCTGGGTAAACCTGGGGTGATACTAAGCCCACTCTAAAAACAGTGATGAAGACAGTTGATAACCCACAACTGAAGGCTAGCAAACATCAATGAATTTCAACAACGTCATCAGAACCGATTGATGCGAGAAGACTGATTCCAGCTGACTTTGACCACAATGAAAAGTGAAAATAACTTAAACGCAGTAATCCCGAGCAGCGGGTGGCGAGAGCGAGAGGAATGAAGAAGGCATCAGCGTTACAGGACACCCGGCAGCTATTTAGTCTTATTAAGGATATCGGGAAGAAGATGATGGCATGTGAAACCAATGCCGAAAAGGATGGGGCACTGATAAACTCCCAGGATAGGCGACCTGAACGTTGGGCGAAACACTTTGAAGCCCAGTTACTTCAGCTGACCCTCGGTAACGCTTTAATTGTCCAACATTCAACCTGAACCTGAGTGGGACGTAGACATCAGTCCCCCAAATCTCGTCGAATTTGAGAAAGCCGTATCGAACCTGGAACGGTGCAAAGCAGCAGGAACAGACAGTTCGCCACCCAAAGCTATTAAAGTTGGAAGTATGAAATCACTGGGTAGAGTAACGGAGGTGCTAGATAGTGACTGATTGACATACGGATAAAATCAACGCAGAATTTTGTACACATATGCATCGGCTCAAGTTACCATACTTGACAGCAGGACACCAAAAACAAGTGGACAGAAAAAGTGGTATCAAAGCAGACAAAGTTGTGTGGGAGAATAAACAATCTGAAGATATTGCTTAGTGCAAATATTCAAGCTTTAGATATCGAGGAGTGGATACATTTGCGCCATTATGACCGACATCAAACCATGTCAGCAAGAACCCTCAACCACTGATTTCTTTCGTCTCAGAGACCCCAACCAGTAGTCTACATCGCCCCACATGCCTCAGACAAACAATAAGAGACTTCATCGACTGGTGCCACGTCTTAGTCTCCCCCACCCTGAACCCTCTACAAACCTATCTCAAGATCCCTCTACATGGCATGTCGAGCTGGATGGTAGCTCAGCATGAGCAGTACATGTTCAGGCCATCTCAGTCAATGAAGGTTCACAACCTGATCAATCGACTTCCTTGTCTTGCCTAGCACCGTTCGCCTGACCTCAACATGGCTCACATGGTGATACCACCATACATTGCTACTAAGTCTATGAGTAAAAGGAAGTGCTGATGCTTCGAGAACATGTGGTCACTAGTAGAATGATGTGAAATGCAACAAAACCTGTAAATCCTAAACACTTATTGACAAAATAGCAGCTATCACTGAGTAACTGCCAACAGAGTAGAGATCAGTGCAGCTATGAATGAGCGAGATTGAGTTAGACCAAAATAAGTCACATTAATATGGTTATTGTCTAGCCATAAATTAACACAATGACGGAAAATGACATTAGCCAAAATCGATAACCTACTGTTTAGAGAGACTCAACTATCTATTCCATGTAAATATTTGGAAGCACTTTTGCAAAACTGGAATAAATTATTCAGTCAAATAAATTATGCATCGAACTAACTGATTATGAAATTAACTAGTATTCTGATCAGTGTTATTCATGTACTGGATAAAATACATTGAACATTAGCCAATATTTACACCACATGGACCTAATTATCAAAGGTTGTCCGACTACTGAGAAGTTTTAGCAATTTCGTCACAAATAAATCTCCCCTGTATACTACTATTCGTTGCTGTCTATCAAACTGACAACCTAACCCAATGGAGATATTCAGAGTTGAAAGGTTTCCATTAGTGGAACCATTGCTAGGATGTCAAGGTTGAAATTCTGGACAGATTATCCAGTTTTTAAGACGTCTATAAATCCAACAACAACTATGACTATCATAATATGTTTGGTTCACGCATAACCTTCGCTTGTTACAATGGAGTTGAAGCACGCTGAAATATGCACAATAATTAAGAGTGATGTAAAAATACTTCAAGTGACTGATTATTAAGTGCGGATCTAGCGTGGAAATTCAAGCTGATTGATCAGTGGTGCTTGGGACCGTTGCAGAGGTTGAAAGGTCAATCCCATTGTCTCGTTACACGAACTCCATATTTTACTGAAATCTAAACCTCTCACTTTACTATGATCAGTGATTCTTTCCTCTTTACTAGGTCCTAGTACGGTGTTTTTAGCGAGATGAATGGAGGTATTTTGCTAACTTTTACTAAATTGATGAGCTACTTAATGCTATGTCAACGCCTGACTTATAGAGCAGACTGAGAAATATCATTATTTCCAAAATAACCAGCTTCAAGCTCAAATTGTTGCCTTTGATTACCGCTTTAGTTTTTGTAAAACTGGCACAGAAAGCACAGTTTGATTCCACAAACTCGTAATCTAAGTGGTCTGTAAACGAGTTCGCTTTAAATAGACTTTTAAACAATGTTATTCAGTTCGTCAATAAACTTCAGATTTTTTCTTTCTTTCTGTTTTGCCTTGGTTCATTGGTGAGTGAGATAGAGAGTCCTTAGAAAGAGCGGACAACAGTTTTACGGTGTTTTGTGACACTATCGATTGTTTAACTCTAACCGATTACACTCTGTTAGCTTACATTCAGATCACATTAGATCTAATCTGATAACGTTAATATTCTTGATTAAAAAAAGGGGTACAATAAGAGTTACTTTTCATTAGATTGGAACCTAACTGCTGGTTTATATTGTGCAGAAAAAAAACTATGACTGCCTTCGTAAAGTATTCCTCAACACTGATATTTTCCTGAAAAACGATGCTCAGTGCCTATCATAATTAACGTGGACATCGTAAATACGCATTGCAGTCAATATCAATACAAAATCCAAAAAAACGATGTGCAGTGCGCAGTGAATAGGATATATTTACAAGAATTTCTTCTCGTATCTGACTTTCTCTGTGTAATAGACATATCTAACGTGGAAATTACCGAACTGAAAGGGTGAAGAAACTATGCATATTTACGGAAATTTTATACGTAGGGTACTAAATTATTCTTGTAATTAAATGAGCAACAATAATAACTGACAGGAAGAAAAACTAACTTCAGCTGAATTCTGGGTGTAACCTTCACCTGAAGCAACAGATTTTGATATGTTTCCATCGCCAATGGGAGCTTTAGCTTTAAGTTTAGACAGAATTCTCGACTGTCGTTCTGGAAATGGTGGCATCTCTTCCAATACAGTGGCCTGATATACGAAAAACGAAAATAAATAATCAGTGGACTACATAAAAAAGTTGGGCAATAAATCAGAAGACATCAGTTTTTCAGTATGTCTAAATATAATACTATTCCCACCTTTCTGGAGTTTAGAAAGTAAAATAAATGATGAATAAGTAATTTCTAGCTTGCATCTGATTTGACTTTAGTTAGAACCAAGCCAGTGACACCTAAGCCAATATCATTTCTAACACATGTGGTGCGAAGGTATGTGCGACAGCACAGACCGTCCGAAAGTATTCATAGCAAGTGGTATGAGAAATGTTTCATGTTCTTTCTGTTCCTAATTTAGGTGCACCTGACTAGTTAAACGTTAATTATGGTCATAGAGAAAAGTATATGCATCAACTGAGTGACATTCTCAACCGAATACCCTCAACAGATATCGTAGTGCTAGCTGGAGACTTGAATGCGTAGGTCGGGCGTCTAGACTCAGAAAAGAGTCGTTCAGGTGGCCAGTGTGGACAAGTTGGCCGCAGGTTGGATAATAGGGATCGTCTTCTGCAGGTTCGCGCAGATTACAACTTATTTCTAACCAGCTCCAACTTTCAGCACAGCCATCGCCGTTGAGTGCACACAGGACTACGGCTCCATACGGAGTACTTGTCTGAACTCTGATCATGCTTTAGTATCTGCTAACCTCGTCTTGAGTTTTGGTGGTCATCAAAATCGTCGTCCTAAACAGTTCGATGCAAGCAGATCGGTTGCACCTAAGATTGTAGCTAAATACCAATCCGAGCTAGATTTAAAGCTAGCTACCGATCCCCAGAAAGTGTAGACGAATATTGGCTGCACTTGCAAGACGCCATGAAAATGGTGAGTAAAGCCACTTGCAGCTTGAAAGAACGCCCTGCTAGTAAGCACTGGGTCTCTGTGCGCTTCTTGCAACTTAACGCCCATCCCGATGGATAACGAGTACAATAGTTCGCGTAAGTCTCCTACGCAAAAGATTACACAACGCTTACGCAAGGACAGTGAGGCTTGGCCGTCAGAACGCACGAGTGAGATGGAAGCAGGAGCTGCATCAAGCAATAGTTGGAAGCTGTCCCAGCTCATCTGAGCCACTGGCAGCAAGAAGTCAGGTGTCAGTGAGACGGTCTGTGAGGTAAATGGCGGGCCGATAAACAATCTTGAAAGATGCCTGCAACGGTGAGCGGAGCGCTGCGAAAAGCAGTTTAGCTAACCCACTGCTCCATCATCTTCAGTTTCAGTGTATCGTGTTCCATGGTCAGTTAACGCTGATCCACTTAACGAAGCGGAGGTCCATAGGGTCACAAGGCACCCGACCCAGACAACTTACCCCTGACTCCATTTAACTTTTGAGGATGGAGGAACGACTCTAATCAGGAAACTGACTAGATTGTCCGAAAAAGTATGGCGAACGGAGAGTATTCCATCACTCTGGAATGAAGCCATTGTCGTGCTCATCTTTTCGAAAGGTCTACGTAATATATATGACAATCATCGAGGTATTAGTCTATTACCAGTTGTGTCGAAAATATTAGTTGCTATCAAACTTCAGAGACTTTGCAAAACAAGTGAGAAAATGACTCGCGAGGAGCAGACCGGGTTTCGTTCAGGTCGTGGATGCATTGATCATGTGTTTACCCTCCGCCAGATGCTTGAACATCGTCAAACGTATTTCAGACCAACCATCGTATTTCTTGACATTCGAGCTGCCTTCGATTCGTTGGGCAGAGCTGTACTCGTGAATTGTCTGTTGGAGAGGGGCGTAACTGAGAAATTTCTTAACATCTTGAAAGCCCTATATGATAATAACACCTCAGGTAGAGTGAGGGCACACAACCACATGTCTCCATTGTTTCGAACCAGCAGTGGGGTCGGGCAGGGTTGCCCGATTTCCCCATCACTCTATAACTTTGCCGTCGACGATGTCCCTGAGATAAGTCTGAACGGAGATAAGTCCGTAGAACGGCTTTTCGACCTTGAGTATGAGGACGACATAGTCTTACTGTGCAATAACACACAGGCTACTCAAATCGCACTTAATCAGTTGGGGATTAGTGTCCTTAGGTATGGTATGTGCTTTGCACCATCAAAATGCAAAGTACTTCTGCAAGATCGGCAGGAGCATGTGCCTGCGTTCACCATCTGTGGTTAGCCGTTGAAAGTAGTCGAAAAGTTCGTGTATCTGGGTATTTGTGTGAGTGGTGGAATTCCCGACCGCATATTGAAAACCAGGGTGCCATACGCTAATCTGGGCCACTTTTGGTGCCGTCACGACATTGATCTGATCGTAAAATGTCTGGTTTACAAATCTTCGGTGTGAACAGTCCTGCTCTACACCTGTGAAGCCTGGCTTCTCTGAGTTGAGAATATGTGAGGGTTATGGATAGTTTGATCATCGTTGTTTCTGTAGGATTGCTCGTATCCAGTGGCAACACCATGTAAGTACTCCTGAGGTACGACACCGTGTGGTTTGGGCATGATGGAGATTGCCATTCAATAAGTGAAGTCATCTCGAAACACCAGCTTCGGTGGCTTGGACATGTGTTATGCATATCGTCTCAACAGCTTCCATGCCGTTCATTGTCTGCTAACCATGGGACTGAATGCAAGAAGTGGAGGAAGATCAGTGTATGACGTGGCGTCGTGGAATGGAGGAGAGTTGTATCGGGTTAGCATCTGTTAGTGCATCACGACTCCTTATTTGGGATCCGAGAGAACACAACTCAGTGACCTGTGACGTTATCCAATATGGCTCAGAATTGAAACCAGTGGCGGTCATGCTGTAGCTTCCTTCTATCTTCTGCTGCTGGAAAGTAATCAATATTTTGGTTTGAATGTATCTTACTGAATTGCCTTTCGAATCGATCTGTTCTTATTGTGTTTTTAATCCACTTCCCTTCGTTTTGTCTTCAAAATGTTATATTATTTTGCGTGCCCTATTTCTGGGTGCCCTTGATGCACCATGTTTGTCTCCCAGTAATAATAATAATCGTAGCAATAATAATAGTAATAATATGCAGCTATATTGTGTTCACTTGTTCTCGTCCTACTATTGTACTATTATTCTTTTATATTAGTTTGCTTCTATTTTACTGTTTTTCTGGTTGGTAAACCCCAACGAATGAATCATTGTGCTACTATCTAGAGATTGTTTCCATCGGTTAACTTGTATCTAATAGTAAGGGAATACTTGAAGTGAAGAATTTTATCTGTAAATGGTAGTATATGAAACATATTTGTAAAATGAAGAAGAAAAGTTAATTTCTGACGTTTCACAACCTCATTTAAGCGGTTTTTTCAGAAGTGCAATGAGGATCTCATTATTGCTTTGATCGTCGTAAACAGATATTTCGTTGCTGAGTAATCAGTAACACACGCTTTTTGGTATGCAGAATCAGAAGGTTTGCTCTAGATTTACAAGATTGTTTTCCCTGAAGAAAAATGTATTAGGAAATATGATAGCACGTTAAACAGAAACATAAGATACATCTTAATTGAAGTAAGATTTTAAGCTAGCTAAACCCGATTTTGTAGACAAAAAAGGCAATCGCCTACAAAACAGTAAGGTTAATTTTTGTGAGATAGAACCACCCATAAGTTAAAGTACCAACCACCAATTTCAATCAAAAGATTATTTCCATCATGGATTAACACCAGCATGAAAAATTGGGAGCACGGAGCAGCTGTTTCGTCATAGAATGTGAATTCCCAGAAGTGCACACCGATGACCCCGTGAGGGATCGAGTTTACGATCGAAATGTCTCTCCATGACGATGCCAAAACTCAACTACTGGGACAGAATCCACTGATTAACATTTTAAAACTCCTGTCAATTTGTGATAAAGCATGACCATTATTCAATTTCATTGGCGAGCATTTGTCCTCACCATCGACTCGGTTGAATCTACTTTTTATTAGAGCCTCAAGAAATTTGTTCTGAGGTGAATCACTTATGATCACAGAATTGACAGAAGTTGGAAAATGGGGGCTATTGGATACAATTGACTGGATGATAACGTGCTCACCGAGAGATATGACGGTTATGGGTTCCACCCCACATAGAGTCATGAGCAAGCACTATTGAGATGTTACAATCTACAGAGAAGTAGCTACTCAGTGTTCTCAGGCTTTTGATAACTCCGTCGTGAAAACCATCTTTAAATTCATTAATTCTCCACAAGCAAATCATTTAAATCGAAAAGCTGAAAAAATGAATCTTCAGTGATACACCAAAGAATACTTAAGCACCATGATATATATATATATATATATATATATATATATATATATATATATATATATATATATAAACAGTAACAAAAAGGACTGATATTGTCAACACAGAAGTAGCCAACGAATTAATGAAAAATGCGGAAGGCTAAATAATGTAGTTTTATGTTAACCGCAGAAACTATTGCAAACAATAAACTAAAATAAGCTTCTTACTTCTAAGATGGAAATGCATTAGTTATTCAGATAAGTTTTAATAAGTCGCTGCAAAAAAATAACCTGTGAGTCATATAAATTGTCAACAGCGGCCTAGAGAATGAAGCTGGACAAGAGATCACAAGTGCATCAGAAACTGGTTACAAGTTGTATCTAGACGTGCACATACATAACCTGCCCACTAATCAACGTCTGTTTGCAAATTTAGTTGCTTACAACTTATTTGATCTCAAACTGATAGTTAATTAAAAGAAATATATGATTCATTTTAAAAACAAAGACTAACCAATACATCATCAGTAGCGATTTGCGACAATGTCAAGTATTCAGTTGCTCTCTGTTGGATTTCCACATTGGAACTGCGTAAATTACTATCATTCTGCAGTACAGATTGTATATCACATTTGATTTCAGGGAATAAATTGATGAATTTCATGTAAGTGGATAGTAATAATTGACGTGTAGTTGAGGTACACAGGTGGAATTTACTATGCAACAAACTGAATTGTACTTTAGACCTGATATGCAAAATCCAATAAGACTTTTTGGATAAAAATAGGAACAGATGCATTTATCATCATTAAGAAAATCTAATTCGGCAACTTATTTGACAAAACAAAATAGGAAGTAGTTATTCTAGAAAAAATTTATTCTTACTCGAAAGATGTATGATATTGCGTTTAAATGACTACGAGGATCACCCTAGCAACGACTGAAATAACCAATTAGGTTTCTCTATTTTGGCTGGAAAGATTGTACTTTCTAAAATAAAGGAATCCAATGAGTCGTTTCAGAAGTCTCCTGAATGGCTTTTAAAGTTGCCCGACTGAACGATGAGATAGTCCTTACGCGCTCACCAACTACGACTTATATAATTTTGGAGAGACTGTGCGAAGTAACAGACTGAGGCACTAGACAAACTCCCGTTTATTGTGTTACTGTTAGTGATATTATATTAGGCAGGACAAGGTTTGAGCTCTAATTCTATTTGGATGAGGGTTGATACTCAAGAAAAACTAGTCCAAGCTTCTGCTATACTGGAGATGCAGAAAGAGGTCATATAAAGATAACATTACAACCCAAATATATTCATAAACTCAGTCAAATGCCAATGAGCGATGCTACATCAAATATTGATACTATATGTATTGAGCACAGAAAGAAAATCTGTATATGTATACATCACTCAGAGAGTCAGGGAATTCATGAACTAATGTGATGTCGTGATATGGCTATAATCACCTTTGTTCCAAATGGTTATGCCTCAACATATTACGGAATTCAATGCTTTGACGAAAAATTACGCTGCAGTTCATCCTATACTTAGCAACTAACTGGATCACAGATATTATTCTTACAACTTACTACACAAAGATAAAGGTAGGGCTTCTCAAACGAATATCTTCCCACTGAAGATCACACTGTAGTTTGGTAAAAAACAAAATAGTTCGTTAATCTTCGCAACGGTCGTTTATTGTGCTCTAACACCACCGCTGACACAACTGATGAAAGTACGTGACATTAGAAAGTTATATTCTGTTAATCATGTGTTTTTGAGGTATTTCCGACGTGTAGCGGAACCAGAGTAGTCAATTTCAAGGTTAAATATGGTGTGCCAAGCGACAAGGGTAGATCAATCAACAAAGTTGTGAACCTATAAAGAACGATGGGGCTGGAATGTGTTAATATTGCCAAAAAACCACTAACCCCGATTAAATAAGTCAGCTAAACTCTAGGCACTTTAATCATTCTCCTGTTTGTTTTTCTCTTCCTATTAAAAACTTCATTATCGTAATATCAGTCGATTTCTGTCCATCGTTTTTTTCATTATGGTTGTGTCAACGTGAACTGATGCAAGTTTGTGTGACATTTTAAGCTGGTCTATCCGCCTGTGTGAAGACAAATAAATCTTAGTGTTACGCAACAATCAATCCGTCAATACAAAACATTATCCATTCATTTTCACAAAATTGATATCGAACCACAAATATGAGAAAAGTTTATAACAATAACTAAAAGTAAAACAGAAAAATATAACCTGCAGAAACATCCACTAAGCTATGAACCACACTTATCGCGTAATGATTATGGTGTACATCTGTACAAATAGTGGTACATGTGATGAAATTCCAACCTGAGATCTATTGATGGAAAGTTTATTGTTCATAGAAATTAGCTATGGTTGTACATCGTAAACTCTTACAGGAAAAAAAACAATTTTCGAAAAGTTATCTGCTTGCGGAATTCAAGAATGAACCGCAAGCGCACACATACACTACCAACCGCAGAATCAATTCAGAACTTTAAAACCATACAAATGAAATGTATTTGATTAATGCAACTGAAAATGATCAGTTCTAAATTTAATCCAGCCAACAAGCTATTAAGAATATAAATTAATTTGCATTAGATAGCAACATATGAAGAAATTGAAATATTATTAAGGCTTACGCTGATCTTGGATCACCTGCAATAAGATTACCGAATTCACCCAGAATATAACCCCCCACTTTAACCATATTTTCGTGACAAGCAGGAGCTTGAAGTGCCTGTAAATCAAAATTGCCGATGATTAAGGAAGCAAGATAATTATCGCTGTTAGTATTCTACTATACCAAATTCATAAGCAGAGACTGAGGGATAAGATTCTGATAAAACAAGAATGGCATACGTAGTGAAACAGATGCACGATATTCACAAAAAGCTGGCATTACCCTTAAGTCCTACTGTTTGCGCAAAAGGTAAATTACTAACTCCCGATCGATAGCTGCTACCTTGACGTGGTGGTCGGGCTTGCATATCACAATGACCCAACGAGCTATGCTGGTGGAACGCTTGTTCCCTCGAGGTCCTACCATACCAGAAAGGTCTGTTGGATAGTGGTTAGACGAAAAGCAGTTACCGTTATAGTGTAAATTGCTACACTATGATGGGGGTCTGAGGGCGAAGTCGTACTGCTGCTAGCTGGATGGGGTGTGACAGCAGTAAGGTGTTTCCCTTGGATGACCAGCAGTGCCATGCTGATGCTGCCTTCTCAGTGGAAGGGGGGGTTAGAAAAGGTCGGCCCCAAAAATAACACACTCCACCACGCCCCACGGTCTGCCGGGCCGGCGGTGTTGGTTCACTTGTCGTTTCCTTTCGACCATCCGGCCCCAAAAATACAAAAGTTCAAAATAATCATACTCAAAAGGCTGGGTGTGACAGGCCTCAAGCAGATGTCCGATGGGCTCTGCGGTCACACAAATCTCTTTCAGGTACCTTAAGAAGAAATAGCCTTCCACGGTGTGGGCAGCCGGGAAGTGTCAACCGCCCTCACAACTCTGTCAGCACCCAAGTTTCTTCTGACTGCTATCCTCCTCCTCCATCATTACCTTCTAATCTTCCTTCACGTCTCTTAATTAATGATGCTGCATCATCTTCAATTTCTCCTACCTCTGCAGCCTTCGACAACGATCTGAGTCCACAGAACAGCATCCCTGGTCTCCTTAAACCACGCTCCAAATTACATATTGGAGCCTTCAATGTCCGCACCCTCCGTCAAATTGGCCAACAGGCTTCGTTGGCAAAGACTCTAGCAACTCGGGCATGGATGTGTGCTGTGTTTGTGAGACACGCATACAGGACCCAAGTGTGGTTATTCACCTGACCTCTCCTGACCAATCTGGTGAATCTGCAAAATTCACCCTTCGAGTTTCTGGAGATTCGATAGCTAGCTCTCGTGGTCTTGCAGGTGTAGGTATAGCATTAAGCACCAGGGCAGAAAACTCACTACTAGACTGGATCCCAGTTGATAGTCGCCTCTGCGCTATGAGGCTGAACGGCACAGTGAGAACTAAAAGGAATAGTGAGACTCGCCGTTGTCTCTTTGTAATCTCTGCTTACGCACCCACTGACTGTAGTTCGGATGAAGTGAAGGACGAGTTCTACCATAAACTGTCTAACCTCCTCTCGAAAGCCAAACGTTCGGACGTAGTGGTTGTTGCAGGTGACCTCAACGCACAGGTGGGTAGACTGAGTGAGGCAGAAAGGCACTTAGGTGGCACTTTCGGAATCCCAGCTGAACGTACAGATAACGGTGATCGCCTATTACAACTATGCTCAGATAACCGCCTATTTTTAGCCACCACAAATTTCAGACATAAAGAAAGGCACTGTCTGACCTGGCGTCCACCGAGCTCGACTCAGCGATGGACACAGATAGACCACATTGCTATTAGTCATCGCTGGAGAGGATCGGTGGAAGACTGCCGCTCCTTCTGGAGTACGTGTTTGGACAGCGATCATGCGTTGGTCCGAGCACGTATATGCCTGCGTCTCAATGGACGTAGAAAAAATTTGGCAACAAAACCACTACGAGTTCTGCTGGACAACGAAAACACCAAAGCCGTGTTCAGTGAGAAGTTGGCTAGGCAGTTATCGGAACAAAAGACTGTCACTCATCCAGAAGAAGCTTGGTGCCATCTTCAGTCTACTGTAAAAGCAGCACTGGAGACTGTAGCCGACTCCAAGATAATGGCTAAAAAGAGCCAGTGGATATCAGCAGCTTCTTCCAAACTAATGGATGCACGTGAATGCATCCCTGCAGGCTCTGAGTACAATGAAGAGCGAGCGCAACTTAAAAATAAACTGACGAAAAGTCTGCGCAACGATCGTGAACAGTGGTGGGCAGCAAAGGCTAAAGAGATGGAAAAGGCAGCGGCGATCGGTAACAGTAGACAGTTATTTAGACTTATTAAGGAGACTGGGGGGAAATGGTCAACAACAGTTAGTGAGGTTATAGCGGAGAAGGACGGATCGGCGATTCACTCGCAGGGAAGGCGACTGGGACGATGGGCAGAACACTTTGAGGAACAGTTTAACTGGCCTCCAGCCACCATTGCGCTGCCCGCTATCCAGTCGGACCCTGAATGGGACATAGAGACAGGTCCCCCAACACTAGAAGAAGTTGAGAAAGCGGTAGGTAGCCTGAAACGGGGAAGGGCAGCAGGACCAGACGGACTACCTGCTGAGGTATACAAGAATGGTGGTAGAGTTCTCTTAGTCAGGCTAACGGAAGTGTTAGCCAGTATATGGGAATCAAATACGATCCCCTCCGACTGGTCTAAGTCACTCATCATCCCAGTCTTCAAGAAAGGCGAGAAGTCCTCTTGTGATAACCACAGAGGAATCAGCCTGACAAACATAGTGTCTAAGATCCTAAGTTCTATAATTCTCCGACGCCTGAGTGGAGCTCGGGAACAGCAAGCCCGAGAAAACCAGGCAGGCTTTAGACCTGGCCGTGGATGTATCGACCAAATATTCACACTGCGCCAGGTCCTGGAACATAGGCATGCTTACAGACGCCCGACAATAGCTGTATTTCTCGACCTGAAGGCGGCATTTGACTCCGTTGATCGAGAAGTCTTATGGCAGTGTCTGTCACTGAAAGGCGTGCCTAGTAAGTACATCACCTTATTGAAAGCTCTCTACTCGAACACTTGTGGGCATGTTAGAGCCTATGGTGAGTTGTCCAGGGAGCTATACTCATCAAGTGGTGTCCGTCAAGGATGCCCACTATCCCCATTCTTATTTAATTTTATCATAGATATTCTTATGGAGGTTTCCCTCTCGTCACCTAATTACAAAGACGTTGACCCATCACAGGTGAATTTTCCTTAGATCTAGAATATGCAGATGACATAGTCCTGTTAGGTGAAGACGCTGACAAGATGCAGAGTCTTCTGAACACTTTGAGTGGGAATTTGAGAATGTTTGGGATGCGATTTTCACCACCCAAATGCAAATTTTTGCTCCAGGACTGGTCTTCAGCGGTACCGCGGTTAACAATAGAGAGTGAAGTGGTTGAGTGTGTTGACCACTTCACTTACCTGGGAAGTAGGATCAACCCGGTGGGTTAGTTGCCGATGAGATTTCTGCACGGATACAAAAGGCTCGATTGGCTTTTGCCAATTTGCGCCACCTATGGCGCCGCCGTGATATTCGTTTGTCTATTAAGGGTCGCGTGTACTGCACAGCAGTCCGCTCTGTTCTACTGTATGGCTGTGAAACATGGCCATTGAAAGTGGAAGACATGAGAAGGCTTCAGGTGTTTGACCACCGTTGCCTTCGTAGTATAGGACGTATTCCGTGGTGTCACCATGTGAGTAATGCAGAAGTTAGGTGTAGAGTTTTAGGGAGAAGAGGTAAGTCAGTCGACGAGGTTGTGAACCTTCATCGACTGAGATGGTTGGGACACGTACTACGTATGCCTAGTCACCGATTGCCTCGTCACACAATGTTGGCTGAGGTGGGTCCAGGCTGGAAAAAGGCCCGAGGTGGCCAGACTAAAACATGGCACCAATGTATGAAGTCTCTGACTGTTGGTTTAAGCCATGTAGGACGATGCAGACTAGGTGGTTGGGGTCCACGGGACAAGAGGAACCAGTGGTTGGAGACCCTAGGTGATATGGCTCAGAACCGAAGTCAGTGGCGCAGATGTATACACACATTATCCTCATCTTAACAACGCTATACCGAATCTCACTATTTTGTCACTCCTCTTTCCTTTCTTCTCGTACTTTATATTTCTTTTGACTGCATTCACTTATCTTCATCCTTCACCTCACTACCTTTTTACTTGATGAACTGACGTGAGGTGTGGCAACTCGGACCGTTACGCAGTAATGCCTGATCCTATGTTGATAATGTGATGATGAAATTACTAACTACTTCAAATTTAAATCCAGTGGTGCTCCAAGTCCCTGACTGGTTATATCCAGGACCATATCCAATTAGATGTGATGTGTTAACAGATGCTTAGTCAACCCACTGTATCTAAGTTGGTCACTAATATCTATATCTGCTAATGATATGTCTATTATGCTTACAATTTAAACTAAACAATTTAAAATAATGGATACGGCTATCATAAACTGCAAGCTTCAAAAATATTGGTTCTCATTGACGTTCAAGAAATTAAAACACTAAACGTATCTCATAATAAATTGCTTACATTAACTAACTAGCCAACAACTCTACTATACTGTTTCTACTTCCCACTTTATTGCGTCATTTATTTACAAATAATTCGATATTCAATTCAAACTTACCTCGAATACTGTTTTCGCAGCATATCCCTGAACTTCTTCACGATTTATGACAATCTGGATGACACGGTGCCAAACTTCATCACTCACATAATCCCCGGCAACTCTTATTAAATTTAATATAGTATCTACATACCAAGAATAGTCAGTTGCATATTTCTCAGCTAATATAGCGACTTTTAACACCATCTCTTCTCGAATCGCATAATCGGCTACTTCTAAATAGCTGAGCATTTCGCCCACAATAGCCTGAGCATTGCTTCGGTCACACATGGCGTATAACAGATCAATGGCTCTTTGACGAACTGAAACATCCCGTTCACTCTGAGTTAAAATGAAATACAGTGCCAATACAGTTAGCAAATTTTAAAGACAAATTTTATGTCACTATTGAATGCACTTCTACTTGTCGCTACTCGCAGTACGAAATTCACGAAGAACATATGAAATAAAGTGATAAGGGAATATTTAGACAATACAAAGGATAGAAGTTGAAATCAATGAGAATAGGAAACGTGACCAGAAAAGAAGTTTTCTACTATCTGCTACTATTGCTGATAATGATCAGCTGTCTTTAAGGAAACAAACGAATTTTGTTGCCCTTATCAACTGTGTGCAGCTAAAATATCATGATGCCAGGTTAAAAAAACCACATTTAAACCGCATTCGGTCGCTATTAGCATGGAGTAACCAAGATCATATCGAATAGTGGGTTTCAATTATGATTAGATCGTGAAATTCCAAAGAGTCCTGAAATTATTCAAATCTTATACGAAGATTTAAACAGCTTGACTTATTTCACTTCTTCACATATACCTTCCCAGAGAAAAATATACTATTCCATACCCCACATGGTGGATAGTCGAAAACTGCGAATCACATGCTTGAAGATGAATCTTTTATAGGATTTCGTAGTATGCATGAGTTGTCAGGGAATTGAATGGTACTAGTCATCTTCTAAACGTTGAAGTAATCTAACAATGGCTGTGACAAAACTTCACATATGAATCCATCGCTATTCATATGACAGATATTCACTGGCACGATTAATAAAAAGAACGGAGGGGTAAAGAAATGTTAATATTTCTTTTTGATTACGATTATATTTTGTTTCAATCTTCAATAGCATGTCATTTTAAGTTCACAAAGTTTACGAGAATTTAGTACCAAGGAGCACACAATTGTCATATTTTGTGCTAAGTATTTGAAGGTAACTCGTATCACATAAGAAAAAAGCAGTCTCTATATTTTTTCTACTAAATCTCAGAGTCAATAAACAGTACGGGTTATGGAAATCACTGGGATAAGTGAACTCCCAACTAAGTTTTAATCGAACAAGTCCCAACTTTCTACCTATCACCTGTCATCAAAATCTAAAGGATAGGTAAAACTTGAGTAATTTTGAGCGGAATGTAGGAATCACACAAGGTGAGTCCCGATAACCAATAGCAAGGATCATGTTTATCAGTTTTTTTTTACAGTTGAGTATATTATTCTCTACATTCCTCGTAATTAACAATACATGGCATCCATTTTGAAAGTATTTTTTATGCGCTCCAAAGAAAACTGGGTAACGCGTGCGGCTGAAACGACTCTAGTTTGCTGTGGACCTCACACTTGCGTGCGCAGAACGTGTTATCAGGTACATCTTACTAACTACGGTGTTTACCACTAGATAAAAATGCAAACAGTGCTTGTAACTGTGACTCGAAATAGCTCAAGTTTCAAATGATGGAATTGATTCATATACCAGTACAGTTAGTGGTGATCAAACGAAATATAACAAGACTTACTTTCAATGCGTTTACAATAGTTTCTTGATGTTTCTTAACGGCTTCGTGACTGAATTCACTGGTAGCCAGCAAGCACAAAGATTCCAAAGCCAGATAACGCAAATTAGTTTCTTTGTGCTGTAAAAACTGTCCCAATTGATTACAAGCACGAACAAGTAATTTTGGGTCACAGTCCATGTGAATTATAAGATTAATCGCTTCAAAAAGAACGGCATTTTTAGCATTAGGATGCTGTACTTTCTTTGACTTCGGGGCTTCTTGAACCTTCTTCAGAATAGTATCTAGACACTCGGCAAGCCTAGCCCGAACAGTAGTATCTTCTAATAAAATAACAGAGACTTATACTTCATCAGTGTTCACAGCAAAGTAGTACTTTAAACTCTCTTCAAATCAGGCAAAAATAAAAGTAAAAGTGTTTCAAGTACCTGGTGGAGGGTAATTCTGCAGCAAGCGCAGCAACTTTACAGATAACCAAGGAGCCGTAACGAAGTAATAGGTATAATCCTGCAGATCAGTATATGAAGATGTGATCAACTGAAAAAATAAAAATGAAATACTAAGTCAAAAGTAGTTACTATAAACATTTCAGAGAAAAGAATTTTGAAGTTGGAATAAAATATTACAGGTTTTAATTGCAAAGTATTTTTCTGCAGTGAAACAGTTCACAATATCATCGCGATATTAAAAATATAATCAAATAGATCGTGTCTAAGATAAGGTGGAAATGTCTAAGAAGAATGGAATCATATGCTGAACCAGAAATCAAGTAGACGATACACATTTTATGAATGCATGAGAGGTAACCATTATGGGTTAGTATATTGCCTAAGAACAAAATTTTCAGAAGATGAAATCCTAACTTTGACAAACAGATTTTGTTTCGTGTCCGGCCCAAAAGGAGTGTGCCCTATAAGCAGACATGTGACAACGAAGTTAAATAACTGGTGAGATTGTGTAAACTACTTGGGATCGAAAATACGAAAACTCACCCTGCTAAGCCGCGAAACAGCAAGAGATATACAACCTTTGTGTTCTTCAGGACTTCTTTTCACCAGAGCATCAATCAGACTAACAGCCGATGTAACAACGCCCTAGAAGAAGCAAAATATTATTTGATTTTAGACACAGAAAGAGAGGAATATGATAAATGACTGACATTGAAAAACGTTAAGTGAAATGAGCACACAGCAAAATGATAAAGGTCGAAAAGCTACTCAGAAACCTGAGCCTAAAATTACTAAACACGTACGAGACAGTGTAACTCGGCAACTAAGATAGACTTATGAGTAAATATTGATTGATATGACTAAAGCATATGTTATACATCCCAACTCAAATTAAAACTAGAGTCAAAAAGATTAAATGGTTTGTCTCAAACACGGTATCAATTCACGAAGTATTCAAATGTTAGCCTGAACTATGTTGGGAAATATAAACCTCCAAGTTGAAGTCAATGTGATATCCGAAATTGATTTGAGACGTTTCATGATGACTCAGAATTGATCTCTGGCACAGATGTGCCTACATCTTATTTTCATGTAATATATTTTGGAAATATGGCTTATTGGTTTACGCACTTGACCTTCAGGTAACAGGTCCCATGTTCTAAACCCTCCCCACCTACTTCTGCCTGAAAAACCGGATAGTATCATAAGCCATCACACTAGTGTGGCACAAACATGTACCGAGCTAAGTTCAGTCAGACTGACTGTGCTGAGTTACATCATTTTGTATCATTTCATTTGCCATATTCTGTATTTGCTTTAATCTCTCTTCTTTTCGTCACATGGTTTCCTATTACTATAGTGAAATTACATTCACTTCCCTAACTTTGATCTTACTGCCATATATCAATTTCTGACTCGAGGTGTGGTGACTAAGACTGTTATACACTAATGTCAGGTTCCAAACTGATACTGACTAACTGAATGAGGATGATGCTGAGAAAGTCCCAAGTGACTAGATCATGTCACCAGTGTCACCGACTGAAGGTTTCAGTCGAATATGGTATCAGAGGCTTTTTGGTTGGGTGTTCGTATAGTAACTATAATACATTTTACAGTACGGGATTTATGAGTCTAAATAAATTACAGCAAAGGCCACGTTATCCTACATTTGTTTTTTCGCTATAAGCGGTTTCAAACTTGCTCATATTACCTTTATTTCCTCGTTTTTTTCCTCTGAGTAACCTCTATCTCAACGAGTCAATGTAACATGTTGCGGTCTAAAATGACTAGCAGTTATGCATTTATATGTACTTTCCTCTGGTTGGTTTGTTTGCCACCTAAGAAAACAGTTCTTAACTAATGTTTCAGTCAGTTATGTAAACAACGTACGTTCAGGCACTAAGTACATAAATGTTTACGATCCGTTAATGTACTATGGTAACCAAACAGTATGTTATACTTAATGTGATGATTTATAACTCTGACATCCTCCAACTTAAAACGACGGTACAAAAGTGGATTTCGATTGTGGCAAAACCCAAACATAAAAGTTCGTCAAACACAACTTTTAGTGGATAATGCACAAGTTACTGTCACAAACGGAGATAACACTATCAACGATAATGAATGTTATTCATATGGTAATTAGCGAGTATGCTTTACCCTTTTCATTCTAGCGTTTTAATACCTGAATCTCTCAAACTACTACAAATCCCACACATCGCTTGATCGGTTGACGGTACTGATAAACAAAGCTCCCTAAAACATACGAATCCAAAACCCTGAGCAGTAGATAGATTTATTTTCTATTGGTAATAGCAATTGTCTAGCCTATCCTTAGAATGTGGAGTCTGAACCCGATGCAGGCTGTTGAAAAACGAACCATCGAGAGATAAACGTGGAAATTCGTTATTCTTTTCAGTAACTATACTGCTATGAACTGAGTTCGACTACATAACTTCCAAACAAGGCAATTAAAATAAGTTTACCTTGTTACTGAGAACCGACATTTTAATTAGTAGATACCACTTTTATTTCTCTTTCGTTACCTTTACCCCCAAAAGTATAGCTATTAACTTAAAATTCCAATTTTTCCCCAAAGTGCTATTAAAAATTAGTCTCAAACTAACAAAACCACAGCAATTTTGTGTACAGGTGCACATTTTGGCATTAGTTTTTTTGTAGAGAACATCAACTCGAGGACAGGGTTCAGCAATCCACATGGTTAACCTGTGCAAAGCTGCATTTGAATCCCAACTCCAGTCCGTGGAATGACTTAGTTTGAGCTATGTAGAGAGATATAGACTGCATGCATCTACCAAAAAAGACTAAAGAACGGTCCCTTTTCTGTTAGAAGAATCATGAATATAAACATAGGACCAATGATCACTGTCACGGTCCAAGTTGCACCACTGTCATGGTACGCAAAATCCTTAAGAATGAACGCAAATCATAAATTTCCATATACAAGGGAAGTTATAACTACGCTTAAAAATATGAAAGTGAAATTTCCAGTATTTGCAACAAAATGTGGCAAACAGTTCTTGAGTCGACCCGTTACACGGGTTGATTTATTTGTTACTCAACGTAGTTAGGCATAATGCACTTTAAAGTGGCTTCATAAGTATGAGGTATTACTGCATACTCATTGTTCATACTGATGACATGAACAGTATACACCACAGCTATATTGTTATAAACGGTTCAACATAGATATTGATCGATTTGGAGCTTTCAAAAAAAAATTGCTACTAAAACACTGATATGTAATTAAACTGGCCTCAGGCTAAAAACCGCACAAGTCATCAGAACGTCAGACTTTGAAGTGTAGACTTACCAGGTGTTGATCGTTAAGAAGATGCATGGCTCTAATGGTCCAATCATCATAGGTAACAAGTTCAGGAGCAACTCTAATCAACTTCAGAAGACACAATGCAGCATTTTGCTTGATTGAGTCGATCGTATCCCTAAAATTTATCATTCAGAAAAAATGACATACCCCGATACAAGTAGCTTAGGGATTTTGTCTGCAAAGTTCTCAACCATTTCTCGACTACCAATATTAGCAATACATTGCAGAGCAAGATTCATAAACACAGGGTTCCGACTATTCAGATCATCCTTGAGGCGCGAAATAACAAGGTTCATTAGCGGGTGTGACTCGTTGATAAGCACTGATATGAAAAGGTATCCCTGAAGATATATTCAAGTATAATTAACCTTACTATTTGTTTCTCAGTGTACCGATTAGAACAGAGCAGGTTAACAGCCTCCGTATGACCAAAATCAATGTCATGTCCCAGAAGGAATATAAAAAGTAATTTACAAACATATTTCTTTTTCTGATAACCATCCAGAGTCTTGTCACCTACGAAACGTTTAGTAGAATGTTACTTCATTACCTCTGAATTTTGACCTTATGTTAGCCAATTCCTTGTTAATGCGACGGATTTCACTTTCTTTGCTTTTGCAGTTTCGGATGTCAGAAATAAAAACTGCTAAACCCCTCATCGCATCACCTTTAGTGTTCGGCATTTTCCAGACAAGAGATAAAGTCAACCAAGCCGCCGCAATATACCATCCAAATGTCCCGACCCAGGTCCGAACAAACTGTAACAACTATTGACCAATTCCTCGACCACAACCTAGAGAACGTCACTTGAATTCTCCGTCATATGTTCTTCTTTTGCTTAAAATTTCCAGTCTTTCGGAAAAATTTGAGAGTGCACATGTTTCTACATTGTGGTCACCAGTAATATCTACCAATATCCAATATCCCTTTATGAGATAGTGTAAATCAGCTGTTCCTTCCCTCTCGCTTCTAGGTCTTGCGGGACGGTTCCAGATATTTGGTGGATTCCGGTCCAATAGGCCTGCCGACTCACCACAGCCCGACGGGCGGTTAGGTGTTGGTTAAATTTGTAAGGGGTATATGTTATTTTTTTCCAAAGACTGTGGTGCGGATGGGTTCCTCAAGTGTCATGCCAGGAGACAACTGGTCGAGTTGGTTGTAAAAATAGGTGAAAAATACGTCTTGAGAAATCAGGGGAGAGGAAGTGCGAAGGCAAGAAGAAAAAACGCTTAGGTGGAAGGGAACGGAGCGGAAGAAGAAACCTCGGTAGATTCGTAGGAGAGGTGGGAGCAAGAGCTTTTATTAAATAAAGTGAGATCGTAGGGTCATTGGAAAAAGAAGGAGCGAACAACCTCACCGGACCACTCGTGGGAGTAGAGATAGCAATACTATTAGTAAGGTAACTTAGGGACGTCTATAGGGAAGTATGAGGTTGAGCCAAGTTCGCAGTGGTAGTGGTGTTACAAAGTATCCGATAGTGGGTTGGGCATGCTGAGTTGGTAGGTCGTGTCAGTCTAGCCCATATCACATCTAGATAATCGCCAGTCGTGCCTTTCTGCATGACTTTCCAGCCTCATCTTGGAGCTGTCGACAGCCATAGCGGTAGCAATCCCGGCAGGCAGTGCGTTCCAGTGGCCGCAGACTCACGAAGAGAAGTGTGAACGCAAAAGGGTTTTCGTCGCATGATGGGTGATTCCCCTTGGGTTACCACGGGGATCGCCACAGTGACCGTCCGGTGGGATCCCACTGTTTGGATGACTTGGGTTGCTTAGTATTTTGTAGGCCGTTATCAAGTCACCACGTAATCTACGATAACTTAGGAAATAGAGTCCCGGATCTTTCAGCCTGTCGTCAAAGGGGTTTCACCTCATTCCCACTACACGTTGTGTTGCCCATGCTTGAACTTCATCCAGGAGGTTCACACCTCTTTTCAAGCATGGTGGTGCAGTAACGCTGTGGACCTCCGAGTGAGGTGGTATGCAGGTCTTTTACACCTTCAAAAGGAGTTCTGAGGTCAAAGCACCTAGTTGTCTGAGCATGAAATGCAGTACTGCGTAGGCTGTGGAGGCATCTCCTCGATAACTGGAGTTAGCGTCTGGATTGTCAGCCGGTATTAGTCCTAGATATTTCTCCATGGCGGTTTCGTATTCTTGTCTAAATAGTCCTGCAGCCAGGAGAGCGCTTGGCCCTTGATGCCCAATCTTGACAATTTGCGAATAAAAGTGGTGTGAAGGTAGGTGTCCAGGGAAATAACATGGAAGGAATTCGGAGGTTCCATCATACCATCCACTTATCACCGGCTGCTTGAATGTTTGATGCCAGGGCCCCCCTTCGAAACCCAGCTGAGCACCGCTTAGTTCTCCTCTCTTGTCTATGTGCTCTCTGATATGGTCGTCCACAAGCGTCTCAATTACTTTCGATAACAATGATAGAAGCATCATTGGTCGATAGCATTTCGAGTTCTATCTTCTCCTCTGGAGATGGGGAACAGAATAGCATTCTTCAACTCTTGTAAAAGTATGTGACTGTTTGAGGAGTACTAAAACATTACGGGGCCGACCATAAAAGGCACCCGTGGAGTGTTTTAACACAGCCAGCCAGATGACATCATGTCCTGGTAATTTTCATACGTGAAACTTTCATGGCTTTTCGAGGACGCAGATGCAGGTTAAAGTACAGTGTGTATCAATGTTCTTCTTGCAATGTATTCAAAAACATTGACCGCTCATTTTGTTTGACTTCATTCAACTTGCTTGTACAACCATATCGAACCTCTTGTCTCGATTAATATTACCACTGTATTTCGTTTTGGATAGAAACTGCAGTAGCCGTCAAAATGGAAGGGTTGTAACCAAGTTTTGTAGATATATTATGTCGTAAAGAACAATTGTCGCAGGGTCCACTTACTGTATGAATATATTTTCGTTGTTTGGAAACCAACTGTTTTGAATTCGGCCGGTTTCGCTTTAGGTTTTGGGAACTGTGGAGATTCGAATCTTCGTTACGTGCTGCTCGGCGGATTTAAGGTTTCTGTTACGTTTACTGGAGGTAAGTCTAATGCATTTAGTAATAATTATAACGCATTTTTAATGATGAACTAATCGAATACTTGCCATTTTTACCAGGTATATCTATATGTTATCCTCCTCTCGGAGCTGTGGAAATTTAGAAAGGAACAAATGGCCATACCATACAAAATCTTCTGGAGTAAACACAGGTTTAGATATTGCCAGTCGCAAATGTTTGATGAAAGCGTTATCTAGCTCTCGGTGATTTTGCATATGTAGGTGGTAACAGATGATAGTTCGCGCTTGTTGAATAGAGGTTCGAAGTGTACCTCGGTGCTCAGCGTGTTGGTATGATCCACCATCATAATCTGCACATCGGGTGAGAAAGATAAACATATTAGCATGAGAGGTGAAGTAAGTTGTCTTAGAATTTTGGGGAGCAGTGTTGAAGACTAGAGTTTCTAAACAGGACGCGAGGGGTAAGGGGCTACATAGTTCTATACTCTACTTGTAGGATACCTCTGAAGTTTTATGTAGTACATTTCTAACTTCCTAGCTTAAGGTATTTTACAAATCCTCAAAAACGATGACCTTGTTTTACACTCGGGTACCAGTAAGGGCCTTGAGATGCCCTTACAGGGTTGAGGGAAGGTAGTTATTATAGTCATAAGGAAGGGGTGTAAAGGGCGTACATTGAATCTGACGGCCTCATGTGAGAGTGGTCCTCATAAACCCCAGCATAAGATCTTCCGTTTCGAGTTGTTAAGCATTTCTGCATCATGACAGTCCATCGCTACTTTGCCTGTGCCATATGCTGTCATTGCTTTTCCTCACAGCAGCCTCTACTCTCTTTGCTAACCGTAGTAATATGGGTGGTATGTAGGAGGTTAGAGGTTGTTGCACTGGTCGCCAGGTACCCAGTGCAATTCTTAGTGTCTGTTGTGCTGCGTTTCCGCACATCCAAAGGCCCCAACCACTCTTGGGCACCCTACAAATAAGGGTGATTTCCGATCCAATCCAACATCTCAAGTTGTCAAGCCGTCATTGTATTTTCAATTATCTTACGACCTGTCTCAAATACCATCACAAACTTTCCTATAGACAAACCTCGTTTCGTTTTGCTTATCACGATATTTCTTGCAGAAGCCTAAGACCATTTTGCTCTGCTAATGTCAGTCGGGAAGACTGTAGTTTTGGTTGGATGGAGACGTGCGCAGTTGTATGCCGAAGGCTGCACCAAAGATTTCAGTGATCTCCAGTCCGAAAAGGTTCTCTCCGTTCCGGCCTTTGAGGACACGAACTCTCTAGCAGGCTGATGTCCCTTCCGTAATGAATCGACACAAGTTTTGGAGTCCGCCTCGAGCCTCTGGGCCACGTTCGTCATGAAAGATCTCCTGTTCTGCCTCAGTTTAATTTCTTGGAGCCATATACGCGGTATGCTTGGCCGTCTTTCTCGAGTTCCTCCACATGTGACAAGCCTTCCTCCTGGCATTCAAGTTGTGTTCACTGCCTCGTTTTAGCCATGAGGTTCGCTTCCTCGGCATTGCCGTGACTAATGGTACGCTTTCAGAAATGGTCTCTAGTGTCGATCAGTTAACAGATTACTCCGCTCCTGAGGCCACGATGCCGACGACAGAGGTAAGTTTGTTGCCGCGTTGTTTGCCTTGCTATAGCAAGGAAAAAGGGAAGATTTTTGCTGCGACAGTTGTTAGGTGAGTACCGGATCGAACACCACCACACCGTGTCCGCCGCTGCCAGTTGGATAGTAATCATTGACATTTCCGTTAACAACACATAAACCTTTGGCACTCTGCGAAGTACACGACAATATTTGAACGAACTCCTTATCAGGCCTTGTAATACTAATGCCTGTAGCTAAGTGTGTGACTATTCACAACAGTTACGCTCTGGCTCTCGTCGTCGTAGCTGAGGGGTAATATCTCCAATATTTTCACGATGAGCCCGAACGGGCTTTTCGAGGTAAGCCGTTCCATACATCACAAAACGAGTGACCTGAAAGTGATCTTTCAGAAAACGTCGAATCCTTTTGTGCAACAGAGAGACAGGCCTCTCGGAAGACGCGAGGGTGGAAGTAAACTTCGGTGGTGGAGAATGTAGAAGGCGACCAATCAGGCTTCAGTTGCTATATATCAAGGTCACTTCCATACTTAAATTTACCATATCGTTGATGCTGCATAAGCTGTAGATGAGTTAGGAGGTAGACCACGTTATCGTTTATTCTCAGACAGCTGAACTGCCTGCATTAATCTCAAATCGGAGTTGCTGTGTTGCATCCCGTGAGCAGGCAAGAGGAGTTCCTACCCCCGAAGATACAAGTATATTGGTTCGCTGAGACAGAACTCAACCACCCTTTAAATGACCCATTAAAGTTCTCCCACGTCATTCAAAACGCTTTGTCACGCAAAAACTTAAATTCGGCGTTAGAGTTAGCAAACCCAAAGCAGCATACTTAGATAATGGTCTGCCATATATGAACCTAGGGGAAGTCTCACGATGCATGGTGGGTAGAATCGAGAACAAAATGAATATTCGTACACCATTCAAAACAGATCGGCACTACTTGTGAAAGAAAGTAGCCATGCCAAAAGACAAAAGGTTAATAGAACTATGAGGTGACGTTTTCAACCGTA